TCCAACATGAACAGAGTTTATGCGTGTCCACCGTGGTCGCTAATCACCAAGGTCCTCCAGAAGATCAAGCAGGACAAGGTCAAGGCAACGGTCATCACTCCATTCTGGACGAGCGCGCTCTGGTATCCTATGATCACAGCCATATCGGTCGACAAGCCTCTACGGATCCCGAGGAACCAAGTCTTACCAGCTCCGGGGAACAGTCCACACATCCTCGAGAGGAATACAATGTGGTCGCTCTCGGCCTGGAACGTCGACGGCAACAAGCAGTAGAGAAGGGAGCACCCGGATGTTTGAGCACTACCACCACGCTAAAGAAGGAGATCCCGCCGGACGACGTTGACACACACGGCCGTCGGTCATCCCCAGCCATTGTTGAAGTGTGCTACAGGATCTTGCGATCTCTAACAAGCAACTTCGCCGCAGCCATATTTCCTCAACTCTGAACCCACAGATAGAGTCCCTGGCAAGGAAGAATAATGGATAGCGTTGCCGAATGTAATGACGGCTAAAGCCTATTATTCGACAACGCCAGGGACTCTAGATGTCCCACCCGACCCGCCCTTTTCTAGCAAGTAGATAGAGATCAACAGATCACCTAGAGTCCCCTTTATTTTGTTTTCATTTTTCATTTTCATTTTTTTTTTTTTTTTTCGGAAGTCACGGCTAATAATAAAAGAAAGATACACACATCTAGAGTCCCTGGCGTTGTCGAATAATAGGCTTTAGCCGTCATTACATTCGGCAACGCTATCCAGAGCGGAAAGGCTTTGTGAGGTTCCTGCTAATGTTAATTTCAAATATTGGAAGAGATAATCCATCGCAGACGATTTTAATTGAACGGGGTATTGTAAGCAGTAGAGTAGCCTTGTTGCTACGATCTGCTGAGATTAAGCCCATTGTTCTATAGATTTGTTCGAAAGAACAACATCTCCTCTCTCTTTTATTCTCTTTTTTTTCTCTTTTTTTTTTTTTTTTTTTTTTTTTTTTTTGGCGTTCGGCGGAGTTATTAAGGGCATTTCAACACATTTTTTCAAACGATCTCGCATTTGAAAACCTTGCGGCAGGGCTCTGGGCTGGTCCACAAAGGGCGCGATTTTGTTGAATACCTTGGCGCACCGGTTTAAAATCCGCTTGTGCGTTTTGCAGAATGGGCTCTCCGCAAACCGAAAAAGAACCCGCACAGAACCAGCGAGGAAACCGCACACCCCGAGGAGAAACCGCCCAAAACCGAATGGACATACCACACAAACCGAAGTGAGAACCAGCAAAAACCGGATCGTACAGCCATTTTTAGGTCTCCCAACGGACAAAATACATAAATTACATTCTCACGTTCTCTTTCCTTCCCTCTTCTCACGGCTCATTCTTATTTGCCCATCAGGTTTTCATGATCATAGATCAAGGAGCTGATGTCACATTTGAAGTTCGGTTTGGATAACTAGGCGTGCAAACCAGGCCATACTCCTATGCCTGAGTTTTGTGTCATGGCTATTCTTATGGTCCCCTCGCAGGATCCGGAGGCTCAAGACAATTTAGACCATCGAATCTACAAATGCCTCCTGAAAGGTTCTAGATGACTGTGACAGGTTCATAGACTGTCCTCTGCTTCGCCTCCACTTAGTCTACCAAACCCTCAGTGCGCTTCTATCTTTCGCCACCACTCCTTGCAGCATAGACATATAAATACCTCCGCTCTCTGTATAAACATCACCCTTTCTTGCCCCCCCCTCTTGTCCCTAGTCATCATTTGTCTCCTGTTGTCCTTCTCCTTGTTCTTAATCTTGTCCCTCTTGCTTTGCTCTGCTCCTTTCATATTACAATGACAGCCAAGTTTTTACTACCTTTTTTTTATTATCTTGCCTTTTTTAAACCTGTACTTAATGTGGACATCAATGAACCTTGATTCCCAAGGACTCAAGTCGGTCAAAACTATGGAGAAAAATAATATTTTTGAGATTTTGATCGGAAAGGGCAGTATCCATGTCACCGAGGATGAGGCCAGCTTTGCTAAAAAGTCGTTCAGGTTCGGTAGATGTCGCCTGGATGGTCAGATAGGTCCTTGCTACACGGCCTAATGTGCCTAGAACAAAGTGGTACCTGTACTTAGACCAGAAGTCCTGAGGGCGAGCCCTGTACTTCTCAAACTGCCTAGACATCCCAACGACCAGAACACCGTACGCGTCAACAAGCATCTTTGCCAGAACGTCGAAATAGCTCTTGCTATAGAGGGCCTCCAATGCAGTACCCGGGGAGAGTGTGTCATCGCATGGCAATTGGTCCTCATCGCCGGCCTCCTCTTGCCTGTTTGCCTCCGCCTCCTTGCTTGCCTCCAACTTGGCCCTCTCTATCTTGGCTTTGTGCTCCGTCTCCAGGAACTCAGATACGACTTCGGTTGCGATCTCCTTGGACTTGGCGATGAGGGTTTTGCCATCGCAATAAGTTCTCGTCCTGAATAACGAATCCGACGCAATCGCTGGATTGAGGAAGACGGCAAGAAGCATAGCTTTGGGCATCGATTCAAGCGGCCATGAAACCTCGATGAACTTGGACATATTGGCGTGGAGGTCCCGGACAGCTTTGGTTGCAAACGTTTCCGCGGGTGGGAGCATCGAGTGAACTCTTGGATATATCAAGGAGATGGTCGGGCTCGCGAGATTGCCTGCCCAGTGTGTGAAATCGGCAGCTGGCTCCAAGAAATCGATAATTTCCTGCAAGGTGTCGACGTGGTCCTCGGTCAAAAGAAGGGAATCCAAGGTGGCCTTTCCCGTAGCTCCCTTCAGATGATTCGTACTCTCCATCTCCCTGTGGCACTCAACAATAGCACCTGAGACTCTGAGGACCCTCGCTGCCATCGTGTAGCGGGAGTTCCAACGGGTAACGTTCATCGACAACAACTTGAATGACTTGTCGTAAAGCCGGCGCTGGTGCTTCGCCAGCAGATCAGTCGAAGTTCCACCGCCCCGATAAAACGTCGATATTTTGTGGCATCTGTCGATCAATGCTTGGGCGTCAGGAGTTTTGTCCAGGGCCTTGTTGATACAAAGTTGGATTTTGTGTGAAGAGCAGGCGATCCAGTTCACCTCGGATATGTCCTCAAACATGGACATCGCCTTCTTGTAATTTGGTCCTTGGTCCATGGTGGCCCCAATGATCCTTCCTTCCAAATCCCACAATCGGATAACCGATCCTATTAAAAAAATATAGCTGGAGTTAGATCGCGCATACGTTACATTCAAAGAAATCTTAGCTAGGCATTACGCATCGTTCAACTTACGGATGGTCTCTAAAACCGACTCGGCTGATTGCTGGCCATATGTCCGTTCCATGCCAATGACAACAGATGCCATTTTGAAATTGGGCGTCGTAAAGTGGTAGGTGACACCAACGAATTTTCGTTGATCTCGGCTTGTCCACCCGTCGGCAGTGATAGACCCATACGTTACATTTTGGTTCAGATAACTCTTGAGGTGGATCCTGTAACTTCTCACTTTGTTGTCCATCATGCCTTGAAGCCTTTCGGCCGATGGAAGGCTGAAACTGCGGTTGAGGGTGTAGCAAAGTGGTCGCATGTCCTTTGAGTCCACCAAACTGAATGAGCCCCTTTGACGGAAAATGTGACCCATGAGTGAATCAAGACAGAGGCGCTCCTCGTGCGGTAGTACTTCGCAACTCCAGGAAGCTTACCGAACAGGTTGTATCCACCACCATTTCCGTCTATATGAACACAATCTCTCGACTGCTCGTCCCCAAGGGTACCAGACCTCCCAAGCTTCGCGCCCTCGGCTCCACTCTCGCGGCTATGGCTGGAGTCCCCATTCCTGACATCATGGTCCAAGGCAATTGGTCGTCCCCCAAGATCTTTGAGAAGCACTATCGTTGTTACTCAGGGGAGAGGGTCGACGGCCAGAGTTGTAGGACCGCTGTGAAGTCCTCAATTGGTACTGGGGAGGGTTGTAGGTTGGAGGGGGGGGTGGTGATAATAGCGTCCTAAAAGAATCACACGAAACGATACACCGCAGCGCGCTAGCGAAACTCTTGACAATACTGCTCTCGTCCAAGAAGTGATGTGTAAAAGGACAAAGAGCAGACAAGAGGGCTCGGCGCACTACTAATACTATGTCTACTAAAGAATATGACTGCTAACATAAGGCATCGCCGCCACTGCCTAGCCACCACATCTTTTTGTAACAGCATGGTCGAAACAAAAACATAAACAAAAACATAAACAAAAACAAAGTGTTCGAGTACAGGTCGCCGTGATGCCATTTTAGTCAAGCAAAACACCCCCCCCCTCCCTTGTCTACCATATCAACAAAAGGCCAAGGAGAAATGCACGAACGGGAATGTTCCGTCTGTTCTATCTTTTTTCTTTTCTCTCTTGTGCATGAGAGTGTTCCGTGTGGTCGGAATAGACTCTGGTACTAAGGAGCAAACCTTCATTTTCTTTTATGTTTCCAACCTAAATAAGCATCAGATGCTATCCCATGCGCTTGTTTGTTTGTCTTGGGTTTTTTGAAACGACGCCACAAAATACCGAGAAAACGTAAAAAGTGTTCAAGACGAATGGACGAGCTTTGTTTTGATTGTGTACTCTTGTTCACATAGACACAAACATACGCCAAGAAAGTAAGTATGTTTATACTGGTTCAACCTTATGGGCTATTCGTTTTCTTTCCTTTCTCGTGTGGGAGAGAAGGGGAAAGACAACGATCCCCTTTTTTGTTTGTGCTGTTATTGAGTCGAGGGGGCCATTCGGCGATTGATGATAGTCCCTGGTTCTCTCTCTTCATTCTTTTTTTCACTTACAAAGAAAGAAAGGAAAAGAGTATAAGTAGGCAACTCTCCCACCTTCCAAAAATCTGGCTCCTCAGTTGTAAACTCTTTTCCTCTCATCTCCTTCACCTCTCTTCTTTCTCTCCTTTTCTCCTTCACTCCTTCTCTCCCATCCACTCATCCACCACCCCTCTTTCGCACACTCACTCACATATTTAACACACATGGCCGAGAAGCGCAACATCGATGTCGCAGAGATCGCCATAAGCGACGAAAAGATCGAGGTCACCGCTTTGGATCTCTTGACCGACCATGAGCGCGAACTCCTCGAACTCGAAGCCCGTCTTAATGTCGAGCTCGACGCCAAGCTGGTGGCCAACCCCAACAAGATGCCCATGGCCTGTTATTTCATTTTGCCCAATGAGTTTGGTGAGCGCTTCTGTTACTATGGAGTCCAACCCAACTTGAACAAGTACTTCCGTCTGATTACAGGAATGGACAAGGTTCAGGCCAAGGTTTATTCGACTGCTTTTACGATGTTGGCGTATTTCTTCCCCTTGCTGGGCGCTGCCTTGTCGGATTCTTTTCTTGGCAAATGGTGAGCGTAGTAGCGACGGCGGCTTACTCTTTTTTGTCGTGGGTTGTAGTTTGACTTGTAGGCTGTGAGAAGCATTGAAGTTTTACCCCTTACAGATACCTAACCTCCGAACCGCCTCTCCTTCTCGATGGCTGTACCCTCCTATAGGTGGACCATTATCTCCTTCTCTGCTGTCTACCTCGTCGGTATGATCATGGTTACGGTCTTCGCCATCCCCAACTTGATCGGACCCGTCGGTAAGGTCTCCAACTTCTTGACCTTCCTCCCCATGCTCATCATTGCTCTCGGTACCGGTGGTATCAAGCCATGCGTTTCTTCCCACGGTGGTGACCAGTACCTCCCCTCGCAGGAGGCCGGCAAGGATCTCTTCTTCAACATCTTCTACGTCTCCATCAACGTCGGAGGTCTTTTGACCCAGTTCACCGTTCCCCTCATTGCCGACATGCCTTGCTACGGACAAGAGACCTGCTTTGCTGGCGCATTCTTGCTTCCTACTATTGTCTTTGCCTTGTCCTTTGCCGTCTTTGCTGCCGGACACAGATTCTACCGTATCGTCCCCCCACTGGGCGAATTCTTACCCCTCAAGGCTATCAAGGCTACGATCCTCGCTGCCCGTCGTCACCGTACCGCCACCCCTGAAGAGCGCGCTGCCAAGGGTCACTGGCTCAACTTTGCCGAGGAGGAGTATGGTGGTGTCTTCCTTGAGGAGGTCCGCGACTTCGGCCTCGTCTTGGTCCCTGTTGTCATCCCCTTCTCTTTCTGCAAAATGTTGTACAACCAAAACTCAAACGAATGGTCCAACCAGTACTACCTCATGAACGGTGCCTTGTTTGGAGGCAATGACCCCGCCAAGACCTACGTCCAAATGACCTCCTTCAGTAACATCAACACAATGCTCTTGGTCATCCTCGTCCCCATCCTGGCCTACATTGTCTACCCCTTCTGCTACCGTCGCGGTTGGAACTTTAGCCCTCAGCGTCGTATGGCTCTCGGTTTCTTCCTGGTCGTCGTCTCCTTTGCCCTCTCCGCCGGCCTGGCCCCCATGGTTGAGAAAGCCTACCTCTCCTCTGGTCGCAAGATGGAGGATTCTACAAAGTACGACGGCAAGTACTGTAAAGAGTGCTACTCTGCCTGGTTGCAATTTCCTCAATGGTTCGTGCTCTCCCTCGGCGAGGCTTTCTTCTCCCCCACCGGTGTCCAATTCACCTACATCGAGGCTGGTCGTCAATTCCGTGCTGTTTCGACATCCTTCTGGTTGTTGGCCTCCTCGCTCGGTTCTATTCTGATCATGATCCTTGAGCCTGTCTTTGCCGATGCTGGCTTGTCGAGCGGTACCAAGGGATGGGCCTACTCTGGTATTGGTCTCTTTGGATTCTTCTTGTACTGCTTGACCTCGTACTACTACACCCCTCGCAAGCTTCGTACTTCCATCAACGAGGCTGCTCGCTTGGCCAAGCAGGCCGAGATGAGCTTGACCAAGCAGGCATAAAAAACAAAGAGTTATTTCTTTTCTCTTTTGCACATAATGTTCTCTTTATTTTATTGTACAAATAATACTTTTCATTTCGAAAACTGCAATGGCATTGTTTGCTTGAGGACGATTCAGATTCATTTTCGTTTTTAGTGTACCGAAGCCCTTGTAAATGTCGAACACACAATTGTACGGTTCAAACCGTTTATTTTGTGTGGTCATATTTTCCCACAAAAAAATACAACTTTCCTCCCTCTCCGCCGTCGCCTGGGAAAAAAAGCATTCCTTGCCTTCCTCTATGTATTTTCCGCCAAAAAAAAAAAAGAAAGAAAGGAAGGCTCTCTATTTTTTTTATGGCGTAAACAACTCAAAAAAAACCCAAATTGCGGCGGTTGATTGTGCATAGCCTCATTGGTCTGCTTGACGAGTATTGAAGAAGGGAAGGGGCGCAAAATTCGTGAAGGAATAAGGACAGGCGAAAAGGCATTTTTTTTAATATGCAGGGAAGCATGCAAATAGGACAGACCTATCAATCCACACAATCGTGAAGCGAGAGACAAAGGAAAAAGCGCGTGCGAGCAAAATAATCAGTCATTTCCTATACGGCAAGGAAATACATTATAGTGACGTCACCTACTTGCGTTTTTTTTTGCGCCTTCCACCACTCCCACGCCTTTCATCTGTTCACCTCATCCTCACTCTCACGCCTGTTTCATCACTACATCTATACCCCTCTTTTCGTCACCCGCCACAATCATTCTCTTCCTCTTTGTTGTCCATCAACCCTTCTCTTTATACCTTTCTTTGTTTATCGCTTTTTCCCTCTTCTTACTTCTTACTTCTTACACACACACACACACACTCTCTCTCTCTCTCTCTCTCTCTCTCTCTCTCTCTCTCTCTCTCTCTCTCTCTCTCTCTCTCTCTCTCTCTCTCTCTCTCTCTCTCTCTCTCTCTCTCTCTCTCTCTCTCTCTCTCTCTCTCTCTCTCTCTCTGCAGAAAGTGTCCAAGGTAATAGGAGAGTGACGTTTGTGTCTGTCGGTCAGTATACAGTTGATGCAAACTAATGGAAGGCTTCCTGCTGATGGACAATGGGCGTTCGGGGTGATCCCGTGCAAAGCGTCACGCGGATCCATTGTCCTTCACTCCATGTATGGAAAGCAGTTAGTCCGACATCGATGGTTTGCAGCGCCTTTGATCTTGTGAAGGGTCTGTCTCCTTGCGCTCGTAGTCGACTCGAGTAAAGCCTCTGGCCAGCAAGGTTACCATTGGAGGCTGAGCTCGATCATATTATCTTTTATTTGCAAGTTTTCAATTGGAACAAAATTGATTAACATATTTTTAAATTTTTATTTTATCTTACATGTGCTTCATTGCAAATGAGTTCTGTAGGGTCTCCACGTCTGAAGTTACTTGTTACAATGGAAAAACAAGCTATGGAACAAGAATCCAAAGAGCAGGATCATGCCGACTGGCGTAAATTCATCAGATACAACGTCTTGATGACGGATCTCAAGACCCTCGCAACTCAGTTCATCGCAAGATTCGATCTTCAAAGCAAGAGCGCTGCATATGATGCATTGTTGGTATCACTCAATCAGGAAGGATTTACGAAACAAGCGGCGGAAGTGAAGGTTTGTAGATACCCACACGATTGTCGAAAGAGTTTGTATTTTTATTCTAAGGACATGGTAGCTAACATGGATTTGTTATGTGTTGAAGACGAAAGAATTTAAAACATGGTTGACGACTGCCCTTGCGGAGGACAAGTCATCTTTACAAACCGTCGTAAACCGGCAACAGACTAAGCTAGAAGTAGCTGGAGTTATCAAGGGTTCACATCTGATTCGGTCAGGAATGAATCGTTTGGTCCCTACAGTAAGAGCGCTGCTACTTTCTTGTTTTCGTTATACCCTCATAATGTCTCGATTGGAATTGACTGATCGATTGAATAAACATCCTTCATTAGGAAACCTACTCCGCTCAAGCAATTGTTGGGACGGGATTCTTGCCAGATGATGTGTTGCAAGATGGAGAATGCGGTAGTCCAGGATCGCCACCTGTTGCCCATCAACAACGTAGAGGTGAAAGAGCTGGTAAGATAAGGGTGATAGTGCATGAGGCTCTATGCTTTGACGATAATTGTATGTCTCTGATGTAGCTGAAGTTGACTGTGTAAAATAGGAAAGCGAAGTGCGGAACAAGACATGAATTCGAATTTAACGCCAAAGCGCATCGCAAGGGATGAAGCAAAGATGGATGATCCAGGTATACAAAACTCACAATTTTTGTAAATTCATGAATTGTTAAGCAATCCATTATATCAACTAATGATTCAAATTTTAAAATAGGCTATCCGCTTGGATCGGACCACTTTGCAACTCTAGGACAGGAGATAAACTGGAACGTTAACGACACCGATATGATTCAGAAATTCCGTAAATTTCGTGCTGGAAATCAATGTCCATTCTTGTTGGCACGCGATGGCATTGCTGATTTGACGCAGGAGTCTCCTTTTTGTCAAACGTTGGATTCGACGTTGCTTTCCATTGTCAGACGTGTGGAACCCCGCCCCAAGCATTGGCCGACGCTACTTCCTATCTGCGATCGCGTTTTTGTGTCGAACAGTTATGATGAAGTGGCGCGCGCCATTCGCTCTGAAAGCATGAGTGATCCCATTGCGGCGTATCTTTTTGTTGTAATCATGGCGTAGTAAGTAGATGTCATATTCATTGCAATCATTGGCGCTGTATTATTTTCATTTATTGCTATCTAACTAATCTTATTGTTGTAGCTGGCAATACTTCCAGTTTCAGGACGACATACCGGAAAACATCAACGAACGAGAAGGATTCGCTGGATTGACGTGGACTTTCATGCAGACACCATTATCAATGTACGGGATTCAAACATGCTACCTCGAAGTTCTTATTACAGCGGTCGAGGGCAGGAAAAACCAAGACAAGGATCATTTCGTGGATGCGAAGGAGATTGGGCAGTATGCAGATGCAGTTGCTGTTCACAACAATCAACAGCTGTTTCTAGCTGAGGCAGCCTCTGTTCATCGCCCCAAGAGTGAGAAGCGCCGACAGGATGAGTTCAAACTGGCAAAGGCTATGCGGGATGCATGGATTGAACATGTCGGGTCGATAAGTAGACTGGCGGTTCCTCATCGTGGTCTGGCCGTTTTTGGATCTGTATCGTTCAAGAATGAGACCAAGCTGTTACGCATGGATTTTCAAGGTGCATTCCGGCTTCAGCAATTTGATCTGTTCATCATCCCGTTGAACAAGGACGACTTTGGCGGCAAGATGAGGGCGGCGATTATCAGTTTTCTTGAGTTAGCAGCTCGCCTGCATCAGGAGACTGAGCGCCGTTGTCAGCCCCCTGTTGCCCTCGGCTACAATGATCGAACAGCATTGGCTGACGCCGTGAGATTGATCGAGAGGACGACTTCCACCCCCACCAAAATCCCTAAGACCCCTAGAAAAAATAGACCCTGGATGTTACTATGCCTGATACCCTTCCAGAATAAAAAGAAATGCTCGATACGTGGATACGTGGATACGTGTGCATGAGTTTCAAGTGACAAACTTTCAACACATGAGAATCTCGATCGTAGGGCATCAAGCCAAAATTCTGAAACCAATCCCCTTAATAACAAAACATTACACCACGGTAGTGGTAGGGAACAAAGCATCGACGACGCGACCTCGAATGATAATGAAGGAGGAGAGAAAGAGCCGACATCGAAGGGTTAAAAGGCAACGTCGCTATGAACGCTTGGCTGCCACAAGCCAGTTATCCATGATTTGAGTGAGGGGGTGACGTTAAGAATTTGAGGGGGTGACGTTAAGAGTGATAGAACCTGCAGCCGACCCATTCAACACAGATACGCGCATAGAGGCTCAACCCACTAGAAATCAAAATCCTTTATTATTATTTATTATTATATATTATTATTATTATTATTATTTTTTTTTTGGGGGGGGGGGGTAGCTTGATTAACCTTTTCCCCTCTCACATCTGCATCAATATAAAAAAACGTCGGCACTTTATTTTTTTTTGCGCATACCCTTATGTTCGTTCTCCCTTTTCCTGTTCTTCATACGTGAAGTACGTTTACCCATCAGCTACTTGGTTGCCCATTTTTGTTTTGCTTATCTGATCATCCCTGTTTTCTGAACGACGATTAATTTAACGTCGCTGCAGTTTGATCAATTTCTTGCTCTAGGATTCACTATTCCTGCCGTGCTTCCAACCCTTATCACTTTACTGCCCTGCTAATAGACAAGCCGACTCTTTCACAATCAATACTCCCTTTACAATCTTGAGGTCCTGGGTTCGAGTCTTGGGAAAGCGTTACACTTTGCGCATGATCTCTTCAACTTACTCTCACCAAGGAGTTGAGGGCTCCTCACTCTTCCACAGCACTAGTGTTTCTCAAATGCGAATGCGAATAAAGGGGTTTCCATTGATTTTACATGTTGCGAATGCGAATGCGAATGCGAATGCACTATGTTCTTAAGAAACACTACACAGCACAAGGTCTTCCCTCAAAAATCAAAGTCTTGCCGCTACCCCTACAAATTTCTTTCTCTAGCATCGCCTTCAGAAATAAAAAAAACTCTTCCTGGCGGCTTGTTGCACCACTGGGACTGTTCTCAATTAAAAAAAAAAAAAAAAAAAATCAATACATGCTCGGGCTTCGTAAATAAAAGTAAGCAATAGCAATGATATTATTATGGTATGTGATCAACTCTCGCACCTACGACCTATCAACTAACCCTCCTCTCCGAACTCCCACTTCTCTCACACCCTCAAACAGGTTGAGGAATTTGCTCCGCATCATCAGCGGCCACCACTGCCTCCGGAGTCTGAATCTTCTCCTCTTGCAGCTGAGGCTTCTTCTTCGACTCGGGACGCTTCAAATGCAAACTGGCTTGAGGAGCGGGAGGCATTATGACGGGTGTTTCGTCGCGGGGTAAGAAGTAAATCTGGGGCCGGTTGCTAAGGATTTTTCTTTCAATGATTCCGCCGACCCATTTGGGCATTTTCTTCAACATGAACCGAGTAATCGTTGCCTTTGCTCCCTATATTATCGACGTATCCATATTCGAGAAAAAGTAAAAAAAAAAAAAAAGTGGTTAATTGGTGGTCATGTTGTTACCTGATTTAGACCTTGTCATCTTGAAAAAAGTAGAGCATGTGTGGGGCAGCAACTTCCGAAAGAAAGAAAAAAAATGACATACAGCGTCGACCATGTTCCTGAAGGCCTGGCTGGCGCTGAAAGCGTCCTCGACCCAGGAGATGCGCTCCTTCTTGTAGAGCTTGAAGGCGTCTTCAATTTCTTCTGCGATGGGGTGGTCCGGGAGGGCGTGGATGTAGTTGGCGAGGGTGATGGCGTCATGGAAGGCGCTGTTGCCTCCTTCTCCACCTGAGGGGTTTAACTATCGTGTCAGGAAGAGAGAAAAGGAGGGAGGGTAAAAACATGATGTGTGAGTTGCACGATGAAGTCAGTGGGATGGGGTCGGAATTGAAAGTCATACAAGATATTTGGGAACTACACGTCATACTTTGTGGCAAGCTGGTTGACGAGGGGAAAAAAGCATGGTCGAAACATAAGATAAGGGTGATGTTAGTAAAGTTCATTTCCACTCGACCATACCAACAAGTGAAAGAACCCATGCTTGCGAAGACATACCATCGCCCATGAGAACGGTGCGGCAATGACCCCAGGTCTTGAAGATTTTTTCTTCAAGCATCACCTTGGAAATAAGGTCCTTGGACGACCAATTAAACAAGTCTCCGAGAGTGAGTTGCTTCTCTCCGCCGCTGACAATGGGGAAGTCTTTGACCTCATTACACATCGCCTGGGCTGCCTCAGGTCCCCATTCCGAGTTCTTGAAGGCGTCGTTGTCCTTACTTGATTCGGAATCGAGGAACTGAATGCAGAGATAGCAAATTGACGATTGCTCGGTTGTGAATGTAATCCAGGCATAGGGCTTGTCCTTGGAAAGAATGTTCTTGAATTGACTCTTCGCCTTTGCAAGATCCGGGAACTCTTCCAGTGTCAATGGTCTAGTTTGACCAACCAGGCAGACATTGGTGAATGGCAAGGGGAGAGCGTCTGAAGCCGGCAGCTTGTTATCCATTTTGAGCTGAGCATAAAGGTTCTGGCGCACAGCACTGTAGGCTCCATCTGCTCCGACAAGGATATCGCCCTCGTACTCGGACCTGTCGGTACACCGAATCAAAACGCTGTTGCCTCCCTGCTGAGTTGAGAGAATCTTCTTTCCGAGATGAATGCGCTCTTTCGGAATCTGTCGCAACATGAGGTCGTACAAAATGGGACGAGGGAGGAGTCGAGCTTCTGCTCCGTATCTACACTCGTAGTACATAGGCAATTTAGCATACATCAGTTCCAAAGGCGTTTGCGGGAGGTGACACGATGATGCGGATACAAACAAAAATAAGGCATCGCGTTGACACCAAAACACCAAGGGGTTGCTACTCACCTCTTGGCTGCGTTCTCGACAGCGGGAATAATGAAAGCTGTTTCCAATCCAGGGTGGGTGACAACCTGAATAGCATCCAGCTCTTTACTGAGTGACAGTAACTCGTCCCAAAGACCCAACTGCTTGAAAAGGGGGGCGGAGGTACTCGTCAAAGAAATAGCTGAACCTGTGTGGCAGCTAGGAGAGAATTTGTCATGCTAGGGTACTGAACTCATTTCGTAACAAAGCAATAACACAATGGGGAGAGGTGGGCATGTGTTGAATTTTTTACCTAGGGGCTTGACTTCGGGGGCACGTTCAAAGATTTCATAAGGGGTGTCTGACTTTTCAAGAATCATGCCAAGAGCGAGTCCTCCGAGACCGGCTCCGACGATGAGGACTTTGGGTCGCTTGGCGTGCATGACACTTCGCTCATGGACAAAAGTGACGGCGGGGTTGATCTCCATGGTGTTGGAATGTAAAGAGGGTAGATGAATGAGTGAAAGATGAAGGACGGGAGATGAGAGCTGAGAGATGGAAGTAGAAAGGAAGAAAAGGAAAAAAAGATGACGAAGGCGGTGTGGGGCGGATGAGAGAGTCAGAGAGAGAGAGAGAGAGAGAGAAAAAAAAGAGAAAACGTGCGTTTTTCCTTCCTTCCCACCCGAGAAAGAGCGAACACATGGATGGGCAATAGAATCTCACGGGAGAATTCTTTGTTTCTGTGTGTTCCATTTATTTTTCTTTTTTTGTGCTTGTGCGACCATGAGCACCTTTTATTTCTTTTCATCCATCCCATCGCAACCCATTTGTGTTTACACCAATCATGGCTCGCATGAAGTAGGACACTATCGTATGTGGCGAAAAAAATGACTTTGGCTTAGACTTCGATGCGCCCATGTCCTTGTCGGTAACCACCATTAGGGTCATATCGGATATCGGGATGCATTAGTAGCGGCGAGTACTGGTGCAAGATTCCTCTGTTTTCGAACTGATGATTTGCTTTTTTCCTGGATCGGCAGACTATTGATGTCTCACGCAAATGATATCGCCCGTAATTAACATTCTTCGTTCCTGAATTCCCTCTGGCCTGTGCACCCATCAACCAACACTGGAGGTTGTCACGAGACAAGAGCTTGCTCTTGTGACTTCGCCCTAACGAGTATAAAAGGGCCTTAGATAGCAAATCTATAGCTCTTTACTTGGTATCGCCAATACAACATACTCTTTAACCTATTCCTTATACTCATTTCTTAGTCCTTGATCAAGGTTCTCTTTATCTACTTCATTCTATTGCTTGGTCTGCTTTCTTGACAATACCAAGTCATACACCTAAAGAACCTTGGATCAAACTTTGTCTGTTTTCTATTGATATACTTCAGCGCTCAAAAAAAAAAAAAAAAAAAAAAAAAAAGCCTTTTCCACAACAAAACCAAACCCTATCTTCTTCAAGTTCTTTCCTCTTTTACTACCATCTTCCGTACACAACCCACAACCCTCAGAAACTACAACAACTCTTCACTTTCCGTATCAACTACAATGCTACCCGATAGTGAGATCCTTACAGCCAACGCATGCTTCCAAGCACTGATGGACCGAGTAGCCACACTTGAACAAATAGTTCAGACGGTCACTCCCTTGCAAGCCAAAGTCACCGAACTCGAGGAGACTGTTCAGAAGTACCGTGATATGCTGGACTTCATTCTTTCGAACGAAGATTTCTTCACAAGCCTGACCGTCAACCTCAACCCTCGATTACTCAGCCTCGAATCCAACGTCCAGAAGATGACGTCACAATTACCACCCATCACTCGCGCAGAACTAGGCAAACTATTTTATGATCACAAGACCGATGTCACCAACACAGTGAGTGCCATCTTCCAATCAACTACACCTCGCTCCAGCAATAGCTCCCCTTCGAGGCCAAAAGTAGCACCCCCCGCAGTCTTCTCCGGCAAGCGTGAAGATTGGAAAGGGTTTCAGGCTCAGCTGGAACTCTTCTTCGTTGCAAACGAGACCCTCTATCCGAACGACCACGACCGCATTGTGCTGGCTATCTCGCGCCTCGGTGATACTGCAGCGTTCAAGTACATGCAGAGATACGTTCCGTCCTTCAAGTTGCCTGTCGAGGAGAGACCCGCATGTATTTCTAACCTGGATCAGTTCTTTGCTCTTATGAGTAAGAACTTTGGAGTCTCCAATGCTCACGTCCTAGCAGAAACCCAACTCCGTCAACTTAGACAGCGCGGTTCTGCCATCGACTATACAAACCGTTTCGTCAACCTTGCAGCGGATACAGCATGGAATGATAGCGCAATGATTTCACAGTTCCGCCTCGGCCTGAAGGAGTCTGTTCAAGAAGCCATGGCAAACTACCCCGAGCCACCTACCTTTGCCGAGTTTTCACAATTGGCTATCGACATCGACAACCGACAGTACGGCTATGCAGTGACCCGTTCCGGCAACAAATCTTCCAGCACTCCGTCCCGTTCCACCACTGCCCACACTTCTACTACCACTCAAGCCTCATCCACCCCAACTACCGCGTCCACCCCTGCTACCTCAGCTCCCGCGACCACTTCGATGGACATGGATCTCTCGCATGCTCGCCATGGTCCTTTGCCACCGTCTGAGCGTCTTCGTCGTCAAAAGGAAGGACTGTGCACCTACTGTGGTTCAGCAGATCATTGGCTTGACGACTGCCCCAAGAAACCTGCAAAGCCCTCGTTCAAGAACGCCCCAAAGGCAACAGCCTCGATCTCGGCCCTTCAGCCTACACAGACTAGCGACCAGCCCGATGCAATCTCTTTCCAATTGGAAAAAGATTCAGCCTAGACAGTAAAGTTGGAGTGTGTCTGGGCGAGCTGTATAACAAATCTCCAAATGATCCTCTGCTATCCCCTATTACTATTCCAATTACTCTTCACTTCCAAAACTCCTCACTACCAGTCCATGCAATGATCGACTCAGGAGCAACCATCTCATTCATTCATCAAAATCTAGCACAACAGCACAATCTTCCACTAGCACAACACTTATTACAAATCTCTCTTGCCAATGGTTCAACACATACCTCTCATCACGCCACCACATTGGTTATGCAATCCCACTCACAACACTTTTCCACACACACTTTTCAACTCATTGCACTTGGCAATTATGCCATTATTCTTGGCATGGACTGGCTCCGCTCACACAACCCATATATCGACTGGGAGAAACGAACCATTACTATGCCATGCCTCCATCAGCACACACTCGACAAGCTTTCCCCCCTTGCACAATCAACAATGCCTCGATCCATCCCTTCCTTCCAGGAACAAGACCGAATCCTTCTGCCACCTTCCAAACCCAAATCCACTTTGGTTCCCACCAAGTACACCTCAGGATCCAACCAACTATCCAAATCCGCCAAGAACCGATCAGCAACCAACATCTCCATTATTAGCAATACACAACTCCGTCAGATCCTCAAGACCAATCAAGGAGTCGGATACATGCTCGACGTCTCCCGAATCGAAGAACTCGCCAGCGCAACCACCAACGACAACTCTATCCCTGAATCAAAACCCACAGTCCAACTGCCCGAGAAATATGCCGAATATGCTCAGGTATTCTCCAAGATGCAAGCCGACAAGCTACCGCCACATCGACCCTATGATCACAATATCCCTGTGGTCGAAGGAGCCACCGTGCCATTTGGACCAGTGTACAACCTATCACAAACGGAACTGCAAGTTCTACGCGAATATATTCAAGAAAACCTTGCAAAAGGGTTCATCCGTCGATCCGAGTCTCCAGCTGGCGCCCCCGTCCTTTTTGTTAAAAAGAAAGACGGTTCTCTCCGCCTCTGTGTCGACTATCGAGGCCTCAACAAGGTGACTGTCCCCAATCGATGCCCTCTGCCACTGATCTCCGAAACTTTCGACCGACTAGGCAAAGCCAAGTATTTCACCAAGCTCGACATGCGAGGAGCATACAATCTTCTCCGCATCAAGGAGGGCGACGAATGGAAGACTGCATTCCGCTGCCGCTATGGCCACTTCGAGTATACAGTCATGCCCTTCGGACTAATGAACGCTCCCGGAACTTTCCAAGCTTTCGCCAACGACGTCCTCCGCGATTACCTAGATGACTTTGTCGTGCTATACATTGACGACATTCTCATCTACTCCGACACCCTTGAGGAACATACCGCGCATGTCCGCAAAGTTCTCAGCAAGCTCCAAGACGCTGGTCTATGCTTAAAACTCGAGAAATGCTCGTTCGACAAGGACAAAGTCGAATTCCTCGGCTTTGTGATCGGAACTGACGGTATTTCTATGGACCCCGCCAAGGTTGCCGCCATTCGCGATTGGCCCACTCCCTCTTCCGTTTCGGATGTCCAGTGCTTTCTGGGTTTCTCCAACTTCTACCGTCGTTTTGTACGGAAATACTCCCATATCGCCGCGCCTCTCACCGCGTTACTCAAGAAAAATACTAACTTTGTCTGGACCGCTATCGCACAAGCCGCTTTCACGGAGCTCAAGTCACGCTTCATGTCTGGCCCCGTCCTTCGGCATTTCCAACCAGATCGCCCCTGCATCATTGAAACTGACGCTTCTGACAAGGCCCTCGGCGCTGTCTGCAGTCAGCGTGACCAAGATGGACGCCTACATCCTATCGCTTACTACTCCCGAAAACTATTGCCTGCTGAACTCAACTATCAGATCTACGACAAAGAACTCCTTGCCATTGTGTCTGCCTTTAAACATTGGCGACACTACCTGGAATTCTCGCCCGCTACCACGGAAGTCATCACCGACCACAGAAATCTTGAGTACTTTACCACCACGCGCCAATTGAGCCGCCGTCAAGTCCGCTGGTCTGAAATCTTGTCTGACTACAACTTTACCATCCATTACCGCCCTGGCTCCCAGAATGCCGCTGCCGATGCTTTGTCCCGGCGGGACAACCCTGGAGAGGGAGGTGCGGCCCAGCACGGCAAGACCGAGATGACCCTCCTACCGCCGATCCAGATTCTGAACACCATCCAGGCCCGGTCACTGCAACCAGAGACGCCAGCGATCCAGGAAAAAATCAAGACACTAATCCCCGATGATCTATACTTTGGTCCAATACTCGCCAAGACCGCAAAGTCGAACTCGGACAATGCCCAGTACTCAATTCAAGATGGGCTACTCCTGCGGGATGGCCTTGTCTGCGTCCCCGACGATCCCGAACTCAAGAAACAAATCCTTCAAGAATGTCACGACGCCCCAACCGCCGGTCATTTTGGAATCACCAAGACCTCAGACCTTGTCAGTCGAACCTTTTACTGGCCTTCCATGTGGCGTTACATCAAGGATTACATCAACGGTTGTGACACCTGCCAACGGACAAAGTCATCCACTCACAAGCCTTATGGACTTTTACAACCCCTGCCTGTACCCGATCGCCCCTGGACCTCAGTATCGATGGATTTCATCACCCAACTCCCGCCCTCAAACGGCTATACGGCAATCTGTGTTTTTGTGGACCGATTCACCAAGATGGCACACTTTGTCCCCACCTACGACAACATCAATGCACAGGATACGGTCCGTTTGTTCCTAGAACGCGTATTTTCAGCCCACGGTCTCCCGGATGACATTGTTTCTGACAGAGGCGCCACCTTCACTTCAGCCTTCGTTTCCACCATGTTCAAGTCTCTGGGGATCAATCAGAAGCTTTCTACCGCCTACCACCAACGCACCGATGGACAGACCGAGAGAGTAAATTCAATACTGGAACAGTACCTACGAGGGTATATCGACTATCAGCAAACGGACTGGAGCACCCTTCTACCGATAGCAGAATTTGCATACAACAACGCAACACACTCAACAACAAAAACAACACCATTCTTTGCCAACCTCGGCTACCATCCGAAATTCACCATCACCATCCCAAGAGTCTCGAAGGACAATGTCCCAGCCCAGGAACGCGTCCAGGCCCTAAAGAACCTCCATGCGGAGATGCAACTCAATATCCACACCGCCATTGAACAGCATGCCAGGAACTTCGACACCAAGGCCCAACCACAACCCAATCTGCAAGTAGGAGATCTTGTATGGCTAGACGCCCGGAACCTCCAAACGAACAGACCATGCAAGAAGCTCGACCATAAGCGCATGGGCCCTTACCGTATTCTCGAAAAAATCGGCACTCGATCCTTCCGTCTCGATTTACCACCAACGACCAAGCTACATCCTGTCTTTCATGTAAACTTACTTGAGCGTGCGCATCCAGATACGATCCCCGGTCGAGCCTCAAAACGACCTCCTCCGCTTGTCGTCTCCGGCGATGAGGAGTACGAGGTTGAGGCCATTTTGGATTCACGGATCAGGCGCAACCACCTTGAATACTATATACATTGGAGAGGCTACCCCGTATCCGAACGAACCTGGGAACCGGCCGCCTGTGTCAAGAATTCCCCGGACCTTGTTCGCGAGTTCCATCTGCAACACCCTCACAAACCCAGCCAAAGGCCTCTTGGAACTCGGCCCTAGAGGGGGAGGTTGTCACGAGACAAGAGCTTGCTCTTGTGACTTCGCCCTAACGAGTATAAAAGGGCCTTAGATAGCAAATCTATAGCTCTTTACTTGGTATCGCCAATACAACATACTCTTTAACCTATTCCTTATACTCATTTCTTAGTCCTTGATCAAGGTTCTCTTTATCTACTTCATTCTATTGCTTGGTCTGCTTTCTTGACAGAGGTTATCTGTGTAGAAACTCCGTCATATTCTTTTTACATTTATGATATTATTTGATAGCCCTTCAGAGGCCGAATGTTTTGTACATTCTTCTTTCGTTGTAGGTTACTAGCATCAAGGTCGAGGGAGGCTGAGGGAAGGATAAAAGTCGAAGAGTCACAGAGAGTGAAAAAAGAGATGTGACAGAGAGAGAGTGTGTGTGTGTAAGGGAGAGTGGAGGCATGCCTTCTTATCATGAGAGAGAAGTGCCTATTTCATCCGTTCTTCGCCATCTCATCCTTTGTTCTTTCTTCTGTTTGTTTGTCTTAGCAAATCTTGAGAGCAATCATGTTCTGGCTGCTCGTTGTTTTCTGCGCGCCCTTAATTGGCGATGGCGAATGCGTAAAGGAATGATTGAAAGAAACGTAGAACACCTTCATTTCGTAGTCTTTCTTATTATTCTCTTCTAAGTCCAATGAGCCAGTCAACGACATCCTCACACGCATCAGGTTAAACCTCGACATTAAACAGATGAACCTTTTCCGGCACGACTTGTTTATCAATGGGCGACGCATCGTGGACCAGGCAAAGGGCTCGAACCACTACTGGGTCTTTGGTCGCACCCTCACATACCGCTCCATGGATAATTTCGAGTTTACGGTGCTCTTCAGAACTCTGACAAGCTCGAGTTGTAGTGTAATCCGTAACCGACTCCTCCGCATTGCCCATTAAAAGCTGCTGTTTAAGGAAAACTTGCTTTTGCCCATGAATGAACAGGGACTCATCTTCGCGGCAAAGGACTCCAGGGTGGCATGACTCCGCAGGATTACAATATCGGGCACGAAGACACTATCCACGCTGCTGTACGCCTCAGAGGTGGTGGCGGATGTATCCCTGGACTGGAATCATCTCTCCGGACGACTCCGACACGTCTAATGTGGGCAAGGTCGAGTTCTCTCTGGACACACCTTCAGGTAGTTGTCGTTCCTGGAACCAATGCTGAGTGCAATTGTCCTCGCACACCGGGGCACCAAGTCATCTGTAAGAATTTTGGGAGCTTAAGGCCGCCTGAGGAGACGTTCATCTGTCCCAACTGCGACTCGCACGAGAGCATCTTCCTTGTCACCATCGGGTTTATGGTGCAAGTATCGGTTTCTTGGAGCCATGACCACGGGGAGCAGTACACCTCCGACTGGAAGGATATCCAGGAAGAAGACTGCTACCAGCAGTTTGGCGCTTAGTAGAAGGCGATGTGGAGCCGGTTGGTCGTCGAGTTTGTCAGTCTGCCTATGAAGATCCTTGTACCATCGTCTGGCGCTGCTTGTGGAATTTGATAGTCTTCGCTACGGTCATTGCTTCCATACCTCCTGCATTGCTGACTGGAACGCGTTGTGCCCCAACTGTGGGTCCAGCAAGCACTTGATCACTGGCTTCGGAATGAATTGCTCCTTTCTCTATCATGAAGAAATAAAACGAGCTTCTTTGTATCCTTTTTCTTTGATCTGTTATTGAGGTGTTGTGTTGTTGCAGAAATATGATTTGTCTTTATTGTGGTCTTTCGCCTATTTTTGTCCGCTCTATTTGTTTTGAGTCGACTCCTGCTCAAAGCTGAACCATGTGGGTGATTTCCTATTGTGTCCTCCCTCGTCCTGTATGGTGTCCATAAAAGAAAAGAGACAACAGATGAACAATGAAGGAAGTTGATAGAAAGAGAGGAAGCAATAATGATCAAGTACATTAATCATATACATCACACCTAAAGCAAACAACAATCCCGCTCCATCCTCAACAACTACTATCGTTTCCCTCTTTTAAAATCCATATCGCCTACCAAGTTGCTCCCTTCCTCGGTCTCAATGGTCTCATGGAGAGGATCTTGTCTGCCAACGCTCGGACAAAAATCTCATCCCTCGTAAGCTCACACTTCCTCTCATACTTTCGACTCTACAAAGGGGAGGAGAGTGGCTCAATGACCTTGTTGACCAGATAGGGTATGATCTCTCTTGAGGGTAGTGCCTCAATACTCTTCTTGAGATCGTAAGTTGATGGACTTGGAGAGAGTTAGCAACCTATGAGGTAGATATGTCATGTCAAGAGAGTAACTACTCTCCCCATGAGCTCTTGAGAGGAACGGTAGGTCACTTGCTCGAGAAGAGTGTAAGTGGAGAAGTCTGTAGATAGGAATGTCGTTGGCACTTCACTGATACCTGGCGGTGTTTCTTGTCATTGTTGGCGGTCAACAGAGGCCATGGGAGTGGGCAATCGGTGATGGGCAGTCGGCAGCGGGCAAGAAGGACAAGTGTAAAGCAGGGAGACAGATCGAAACACAAGATAAGAGGGAAAAGCGAAAACAAAGGGGAAAGAAAGATGAGCAATGTGGGCAGTTAGACTCGAACCACTGTAAAGGTTAGTGTGGTCCAGGGTCAAAGTTCTAAAAAAATGCGATGTGCGATCATGTCGGTTCAATTTCGCTTGAATCCAATGTTCGCCTGAGTTAAGGGGTGTTCAAGATATCATTGCTTGGCAACGAGAGACCTTTTGGTTAGCGTTGCCGAATGTAATGACGGCTAAAGCCTATTATTCGACAACGCCAGGGACTCTAGATGTGTGTGTATCATTCTTTTATTATTAACAGTGTCTTCCAAAAAAATAAAAATAAAAATAAAAATAAAAATAAAATAAAATAAAATAAAATAAAATAAAATAAAATAAAATAAAAATAAAAAAAAGAAAACAAAATAAAGGGGACTCTAGGTCATCTGCTAATCTCTATCTACTTGCTAGAAAAGGGCGGGTCGGGTGGGACATCTAGAGTCCCTGGCGTTGTCGAATAATAGGCTTTAGCCGTCATTACATTCGGCAACGCTAACCATTGTTGTCGCCTTTGTCTCGGTGATTGTCGGTTCCTGGCTTGCTCTTAAAGTATGACTGTAGGGTGCGGATAGACTTGGTGTGGTCGTAGAAGGACTGTGGGTCTAACATATTGAGAGCGTCGTCCTCGAAGTGTGCTCCTGCGGCTTCGCGAACGTTAGCCATGCGGGTCTCGTGCATCTTAACAGTCATTCCGCCCAGGTGTTGGCGCATAAGGACTGCAAAGCTGACGGAAAGGTCCAGAATCTGGTCTGGCTTGAGATGTTCGGGGTCGATCTCCTGAAGCTGTCGGAATTGGTGATAGAAGTAATCCACGGGGCGTGTGAGCTCGGCGCATCGCTCCTGAAACTCGCGGATCTGTGAATCATGCTTCCTATTGAAGTCGAGGTTGTTGGAGACGACGTATGGGACCTTGGGTGCTTTATATTGGTCCATGTGAACGTTCTTGGGAAAGCCTCGAATGACTTCCTTAAGTTCGGCGTCGCTCTTTGTTGGTTTGGTGAAAAACTCGATAGGCGTTGCTGGTTTGATGCTGGGGCATCCCATGACATCCACGTCTGAGGGGCGGTAGTGTTGAAGTGGAGCTTGAGTTGTGATCGCGGGGTCGGAGCCCTGGCGAAGGCGATCTGCCATAAAGCGTTCCATGCGGTCCAGCCTTTGGCTGAGGAAGAGGATCTCTGCATCCTTGGGATCGAGTGGGTGGTCGAGTGGGGGTGAGGAAGAGGAAGAGGAGGACGATGAGGGAGAGGGTTGTTCCATGGGGACCTGCTGAGAAGGGTGAACTCTGATGATGCGGGCAATGTCCCTGGCGAAACAAAAGAAGATAAGGGACAGATATGGTGCCTGAGCAGAACTTATTTCATATTTCTCTTTTCACTTTCGTTTAGTTTTCTGGATTTTCGCATTTTATACAATAAAAGAAGATAACACATATATGGTCCTGGCCCGACGGATAATGGGAGCCATATCTAGCCACAATAAGAGCCACTGTCAGCCACAAACCTTAACATATGCAATAAATTTAGTCACAGCTTAAATATCGGCACCCCTCTGCACTTGACCAACAACGAGGACAAGGCTGGCGTCAACTTACACCCCTTCTTCTCAGGCGCACCCATCCAGGATGCCGCTGCCTGGTACTGGAAGTACCTGGAGCAATCTGTCAAGCCCGCCGTCGCCGCTAGAACCACCAACCCCATCGATATTTGGATCACCAAAATCGGCTGGCCCACCTTCCTGCAACAAGCAAAGACTGGGACAGAGAAGTATAGAACGGGGACGAGAGTTGAAGCAGTCATGATTGTTATTACTGTGTTTTACAACTATATATATATATATATACAAAGTCGCCAACTAGGTTTCTGGGTGTAGTTTCATAAAGAGTCAGTGATGAGAGAGTGACAAGGAATGACTAACTAGAGCGCACTAATAAACCTAATATGTTGCACTTCCCCGCAACCGCCAACGTCAACGCCTCGATCCCTTCAATCGTGAACTTGCAGATCTTCCTCGATACTTGGCTGTGCGACGCCAACAAGAACGGCATGCCTTACTACTACTTTGAGTTCTTTGATGCTCCCTGGAAGATCTGGCCCGGCTCTGCTGTCGAGGGCTTTTGGGGACTGTTGACCATTGACAAGAAGCTCAAGGTCAAGTTGCCCGACTGTGTCATCAACTAAAAAGAAGGACGTCGCGTCGTTGTGTTTTATTTTTGAGATACAAGTGTCAACAACCTGCAACCTGCTAATGAAAGGATATCGTTGTTGAGACGCCGTATAATGTAGATCCCCTATTTCACGCCTATTGTCATCATCACCTAAATATCATATTTTACCATGCAACAGTGCCTTGCCTTGGTGTATTTGGAAAAGTGAACGTCAATAATGATGAACAAATGTTCTCTTGTCTTTGTTAGAATCCACACACATTCATGAGCGTGTTCAACGTTAGCGATTGAGCAATGCGTTGTTTTATTCTGGAATCGATCCTTCTCCAAGCGATCGCGGCTCTGATTCACCTGGGGCATCCCGCTCCACCTCCACCAACGCCGATACGTCTGGCAAAGACCCATCTGTAGCGCCGCGCTGCAAAAGCAATTTTCGGTTGGTGGTGCTCAGACCGACAGTGCCAACAATGGTGGCATCGAAAGCATTAAGAGCCGTAGGCCTTGTATTCCAAACCAGCCTGGCCTTCCATTCCCCCGCCTCGCTCAGCAATCTCCACACTTGAGTGAACCCATTTTCGCAACCGGTAGCAAACTCCAAACAGCGAGGTCTCCAGGAAACGCTCACGACGTGGGCCAAAAATGCATGGACGGATGTAATAAATGTCCATTCCTGAATCCCATCTTTGGATGCAAAATTCCATATCGAAACTCCTCCATTACATCCAGCTACCATCCAACGGCCACAGGACGACAAAGCACAACAGGTAACAAAACCTTTCTCCAAGATATGGCGCTGTTCTCCAGTTTGCTGGTCCAAGATGACTAGGCCTCCTATAAGACTTGCACTCAAGCCTACCAAATTTGAGGCATAGCTGGGGAAATGGCGTGAAGCAATCTGCAGACCATCTGGAGAATACGCAGCTGATAGGAAACCCCAGTGTTCAACACTCACAAGCACTCTCGATTCGCCTGCACTCGTATCCCAGATTCGTAGGGTACCATCCATGCTGCCGGAGACGAGCGCAAGGCCATCAGGCGAGAATCCAAGACTTGATACCCAATCAGTGTGTCCGGAAAGGGTACGACACAGCTGACCTGTACGAGAATCCCATAGTCGTATGGACTTGTCATTACTGCCGGTAGCAATCCAATGGCCGCAGGGCGAGAACGATACGGCATCCACAGTCTCAGTATGACCGCAGAGGACAAAGTCAACCAGACCTGTTCCAGCATCCCAGATCGTTACACTGCCGGTCTCTCTGGCGCTGGCGACTCGACCGTCCGGTGAGATGACGACAAGCCTTGCTTGAAAAGGACCACTCGAGGGAACTTGAATAGGATCACCCGAGGCTGTGTCGTATTGTCGAATAGTTCCATCCATGCTTCCAGAAACGAGGGATCGGCCATCGGGAGAGTAAGTCATACTTGAAATTGGGGAGCCATGCGTCACGTAGGAGCCATGCGTCATGTAGGGTCCTTCTCCGGTGGGATCGATCTCCCAAAGTCGAATGGGTGTATCCAGCCTACTTATTGATGCCAACTGTGTCCCGTCTGGTGCAAAAACTAGGCTTCTCACTGTTGTTGTATTGCCAAGGAAAACTGAAACAAAAGATCCCGACCGTGCATCCCATAGCTTGATCAGATCATCCTTGCCGGAGGAGGCAATCCATCGGCCATTTGGTGAATAAGAGACGGCACTGACGGGTCCAGTGTGTCCTTCCCAATAGAGTTTTTGCTTGCCAGTAGCCGACTCCCAGAGCGTTATTTTGCCTTCTCTATGCCCTGAAACGATCCGTTGGCCACCTGGTGAATACGCGCAACAACAAATGGAGCCATTCTCGCTCTCCAGCGCCAGCCCTGGTAGCCCGGTGCGTGTGTGAGATAGCCGTGTCGTACCGTCCATGTAGGTAATTGCAATCACCTGCCCACTGGGTGAGAAAGCGAGGTTGCGAATCCCCTTATCAAGGCCGTTCAGCTCAGAAATCGCCGTGCTCGTCCTACTATCCCATAATCTGAATGACAAGGTAGGTTCGAGCATGTCAGGCGACTCTTCTTCATCGCCTGCAGTGGCGATAAATCTACCACAAGGTGAGAAGGCCACATTGTATGCATAGCAGAAATAACTAGTGGCGTGTCCTGTCACAATAACACGAGACTGCCACGTCTCGCAATCCCAAGAGCATATCTTGTCCCAACTGCTTGCGAGGAGCTGTCGGCCGGTTTCCAAAAAGGCGAGTGCTGTAACAACGTCTCTATGTCCTTGAAGAGTGTGGATCCGGTTCCAGGATGTGGTGTCGTACATGTAAATGCCGATATCGCCACCTTCGAATCCTACGCCGAATATCTTCCCGTCTGGTGAATATGCGCCCGACCACACCTCGCGGTCTACGTCCAAATACGGCAGCTCCTCAAACCGTACTCCCGCCATTCGTGCATTGCTGAAATCCACTTTTCGAATCCAGCTGTTGGCAAAGTTGACTTTTGTCAAGTCGGAACATTGAAGCTGCGCAGAATCAAACTGCCCATCGGTCAAATTGGCTCCTGGAACACGGATGCCTCGAAGATCAGCTCCATTGAATAGAACCCCAGCTTTCACCAGAATAGTGATGGCGTTCGCTGCGGCTCGGGATGCCTGGTCGTTGGTCTTGGACAGCTCGATGATGTCGTGGAGATGCTGCTTGAAATCCAAATTCATCGGGACACGCTCGGACAAGAAATGCACGATCGACGGCTCGGCGACAAGGGTCCTGGATAATGGGTGGTCGGAAATCGATACCTTGGTGAAGGTAGAGTCGAAATGGACTTGCGGACCAAATTCATCCTGCTTGTTCACCGAAGGACAGATCGTGCAGGAGTAAAAGTACTCCAACACGGACCGGTGGACAAAGCGATACTGAGCACCAGCTCGACTTAACAAGCTGGCACCACGGAGAAGGGTCTCTTCGGGTTTAGGGCGGAAAAACTTAGCCTTCCAAGACGACTTATCGAGTCGGTGAATATAGTCGACAACTGGTCTGCCCTCCTGCTGGGTGAAAATGGCAGCTGCCAGGTCCTGTTGAAACTTGAGCCCATTCATCTCAAACCCTTCCTCATTTAGCTCGTCATACGCCGCCAGTGCATCGCCGCTCAACTTTTGGCGCTCGAGACGACGCTTGTTCACTCCCAGCCAATGCTCGACAAAGTTGTCGTAGAGCTGCACTCGAGTGACGCGAAGCCTTAATAGATCGATCTTTCCCTTAACGACGCTGGGAAGAGCCTCTAGACAGAGGGTCAATAGAAAGGGGTTCTTGACCAGGTCCAACAAGTTGGGGATCGTCGTGAGCTTGTCCATGTAGTCCTTCTTAACCCAGGTCCGTGGCTCCAGAGGGACATAGTGTTCGACATAGTCCTCGATTTGGACCTTGGAGAAAGGGGCTATAACCGCTTCTTGAAATAATTTGAGAGTAGGGCGATCGTAATGGCTACCGTTTTGAGGCATAAAGTTGCTGTGATAATTGGGTCCGAGGTACTGGGTCCTGCAGGTGATAATCAGTTTGGCGCTCCATTGTCCATCTTGATTGAGATAGTTGGTGGTGTGGAGATTGGTCGTGAGCTGGCTCTCATCGTACCCATCGCATATCAATATGAAATGCCGATGCTCCTTCAACTCCATGGTCTGCTCCTCTGAAAAGCCAAGGAGCCTCAACTGTTCGACAACAAGTTTCCTCTCAGGTCGCTCGAGGGATGGCAAACTGATGAAAAGAGGGATTCGATCGCCGGTCTTGTAATCTTGCCAGAGTTGGTTCTCCAAGTGTCGGTTGAAGGTCGATTTCCCCGCTCCCGAGTCGCCCAGGATCAACATGACTTGGCCTTCTCCCGCCAGGAACTCTTCCACATTCTTCATCAGAGGGAATAGCTTGTCGTCGGGGGCTGGGAGGCTAGGCTTGGCCATTGGAGGGATGTACACGGCCTGTTTGTAATCGTTCAACCTCCGCATCTTCAAGGTTTGCAGCTTGTACTCGACTTGCGGGATGCTCTGAACTCGGGTCAGGAGCGGGAAGGCCGCGGGAAGAGGAAGACGAGTACTCAAAGGGTAGGATCCTGGGAACTCGGTGGCACCGTCCTGTCTCAGGCTATCTAAGAGCTCGGAAGCACGACTCCTGATGGAAAGGTCTGGCATCGTCGAGATCTGGACCAAGATGGTGAGGATCCATCGCTTGACATCACCATGTGGTATCCAGTCGATATCGCTCCGGTACAGCTCTCCCAGAAACTTCACAGCCTGTTGACGCATACTGGTGTCCCAGAGCGGATTGGTGGCGATCTCCCCGAGCTGGCGACAAACCCCCCATTGAAAGTTGACATTGTATCGACAAGGCGCTTGGCTGACAATCTGGTTGAAGTCCGACAGTCGCCCCTGTTGGATGAAGAGCGCAGTTCCTTTGAGGGCCAGGTACCAAGAACGCTTCTCCATGTATTCGAATCGTTTTTCAGACGCCCTGACAACAATTCCAGCGCCTTCGCGGATGGCCTTGGTGCCCTCGACCGCACCTTCTCCGATCTTTTGAAGACCTTCAAGCAGCCCCACAGGGTCTAGTTTAAAGACACTCGACACAGCTGATGCGCCTGCCGCTGCCACCTGAGCATATCTCCAGGCAGTCTGGAGTGGAGTCTCGTCGTCAGGCGCATATTGCAAAGCCTGGTATGAATATCCGGCCTGATACTTGACGTAGGCGTTGTCACTACCCTTCAAGCCGTCCAACAGCTGGAGCATCGGCCGGTGGTCTCGATCACGGTTTAGGTCCTTGACCTTACCCGCCACCATCACATCCAGAACTCGACCAAGCACCCATGTCAGATATGAGACATGGTCATTGGTGTCCCTATGAGTTCCACCCAACCTCTTGGATAGAACAGTGGCGATCCTGACCAGATCGTCGTCGACTACGTATCCGGTGGATGCACACTGGAGCACTTGAATCAGCCCCTGGAGGAGGCTGAGATCGAGGAGAGTCGTCTGCTCAAGCTTCGAAATAAAGCAGGAGAGCAAGGCACGGTATGTCTCTTGGTCGAGCACAGGGCCAAGAAGCACGACCTCGGAGACGGCATCGTATTCCTTTATCGTGTCCTCGGAGAAATCAACGACCAGCTTTTGGATGAGCTGGCGGAGATGTTCTTGTTCGACGGACCCGACCTTCTGAATCCATTCACGCTCTTTCGCGTCGAGGGGCTGGTCCGGGACGCCATCATCGTTATCCGAGACAGACGAGGACGATGACAGCAAGTGAGCCCTATTAAGCAGGCTGTAGCAATAGGCGAGCTGTGTGGTCTTGTCGATACGACTACCAGACTCAGGCAGGTCGGTTATAAGAGACGGCATAGGAACATTACTGGGAAAAATGTCTAATCGGAGTGGTCCAGACGTGGGAGGGTCTGAGTGAACCCGGATAGTTGGGACAGTAGCCGAGCTGGTCGTACCGGTAGAGGTGAGGGCAATGCTTGTTGCGCTAGTTGTAACTTGAACAGGGGGCGCGGCGGCGGAGAGTTTACCACTAGACTGAGTATGAGGGAGTGGGACCAAGGCCACAGGAGAGTCATGGACAGCAGGAGAGGCAGTGTTGATGTTCCACGTAGGACCAACAGATGAAGGCGTAGCATCCGCATGAGGAGGCGTGACAGCATCCTGGTCTTTGTGCTCCCTCTTGAAGAATTGCTTGACACGCATCCGGAACCCGAACCTCGATGAACCAGGTAAAGTAACAGAGCCGGTGTCACTTGCGTAGCTTGACCTGTCGTCGACATTCTGAGCGGCTTGCTGCTGATCGAGGCCATCGGTGCTGGCGCCACCTGCTGCATGGTGTCTGAGGGAACTTAATAGTTGGTTCGGCGGGTTGCCATAAGGCGACGAAGAGAACAATGACATGGTTGGCCTATAAGAATTGACCAAGGTAGAATTGCTTGTTAGTGGGACTATTCCAAGTGCAATTACTCCATGACAAAGAACCTTTCAATGTTCCTCTTTTTACCTTGGTATTTGCCGGTTGGCTTTTTTTATGCAATTGGATTTTTTTTGTTGGGCTGTGCTGAGGAAAAAAGTCAAAGCGTGTATGTGGCAATTTGTCTGCGGAGACTGGCTGTTAGTCATACTGCCCCTACTTCACATATGGCAGCGGTATGGCAGTCAGAAGTAAGATGTTTATCTTACCACGTGACGACGGAGAGTGGAAGTTTGCTGACGGACGAGATATTGGTTGTTGTGGAACGCTGTGAGGCTATCAGAAAAACAAAAATGACACCGGTCAGCAACTGACATTAGTCAATTGAAGAGCAAATTCCTCTCTATCCCTGTATGGTTCACATGAACTTACTTGGGTCGATCTTGTCAATTTGTTTTTGTTGATTGGCTAGTAGCGGGCTCTGGGATGGTCAGTTCGGACGTTTGTGTCTGTTCAATGGAAAAGGAACAAACGTTAGCATGGTCACAGCACGGGGATGGTGCGTTGTTTTTCCTTTCAGATTTTCACACGCCTTTTGATCCCCATGTATCTTTTTGGACGCGGTGGTACCTTTTTTCTGAGGGTACAGCGACAAAGGTCTTTGGCTCTCGATTCGTTGAAGAATATCTATAAGCGGTCCTTGTGGTTAGTTTGCGGCAAATGGTAGCATTCCCTTGCAATTGTCCACAGTAGGCGATAACTTGATGGCTGTTGTGGGGGGGGGGGGGGGGGGTTTACCTCTGTAAACAGAACAAAGCCGCAGAGAGAACCAAGTAGAGGATAGGGAAGGGTGCAATTGGAGTTTGTTGATGATGTCTTGGTGAGGGCTAATGAGACGAAGAAGCACAGTCAAACGTCGAGTCAGAAAAAGAGTAGTAAAAAGCGCGTGGGGGGAGGGGGTATGGCGTGAGTGCGTGGGGGTGTGGGGGCGTGAGGGAAATGAGGCGAGGGTTGATGAGGTGATGAGCCAAGGAATGCAACAACCGATCCGCACCCGACTCTATTTTTGTAAACCCTCGCCTTTTTTTTTTGTGTCGTCACCCTCATCCCCTTCTTTGCTTTCGAGTTTCGACCATGATTTTGTGCAACAGTGAGGGCAAGAGAAAAGAGAGAGGAGAGTTAGGAAAACCATGGCCCTGGTTTGACTAACGAAAAATCTGAGATCGTATGAGCTACAAGGGATTTAATGATCGCATATGCTGCGAAAATATAGTGAACTGCTTGTTGTTAAGAGGGGTGAGGATGGGATAACGTGAAAGATACAAGAGAAAAAGTGCGCCATTGTGGAAAAAGGAAATTAATTATCAATAGAAACGGTTGCAAGAGTAGGGATCAACTTAGTCGAAAAGTACGCAAAGAGATGCGCCAGATTTATTGCTCATCACTATGTAAGGGATCGTTCGTCTTCGTCTTCTTTGATGTTCGAGATTGCTGTTGTTCAGAACGTCGCTTGTGTCCTTTGAGCTTGTCCAGAAATTCGACGTGACGAGACGGGAAGATCTTTGAAAAGTTGTTGTCGTCGACATCGATGGACACACGATGGAGGCCTTCAAGTTCGGGCTTGGGATCGGGCCGAACAATCTGGAAGTTGACAACCTCGGCAGGGTAGGTGATAACCATGCTGATATATGCCCCGGTGGGGCAGTAGTCCTGTAGTTGTGGTGGTTGCTGTTGATCGGATGGGACGCTTGTTGTCGATTCCTGTTGCCGTTGGTTTTGTTGCTTCTTCTGCTTCTTTTCCACTTTCTCCTGTTCCTTTTACAGCTTCTCCTGCTCTTTTTCTATCTTGTCCTGTATGGCGTGGCTGCTAACAGTTGCAAGCGCTTTCTCGACATCACTTGCCTCAAGAACTTGTCGCAATTTCAAAATTTGCACAAAGCAAGGGTACATGTTGCCGTTGATCTTGACAAAAAAGATGACGTCGGGTCCAGAGACATGATGTGCCGGGAAATAGAATGGAGGGGATATTCTGATCGCCCTGCTTGGAGTTTTTTTCGACATGCGCCTTCATAAAATGCTGTGTAGTGATGTTTTTGTGTGAGATGGCGAGTTTTGGTTGCTGACCGTCGTATCCAACAATGGTCACATTCCCAGTGAGCTGGTCCGGGAGAGAAGTGTCGGTCAACAAAGGCCATGACGACAACGATTGCCTCTTGAATGTTTCGATAAAAACAGGTGGCATCATCGTTTCCAACATATTGCCATGTACTGAGGGGTTGTCCGAGTGCAACATCGCTCGTTCTGCTGCCGCCACAAGTGAGGGATCCTTCTCGTGGAAGTAGTCGATGGTCGCCTTCAACGCCAGTGGCTCGTCGAGAGCAGTCCTTGCGGCACCTCCAAAGAGCTTGATACGACCAAACGCTGCTTCCACCAACTGGACATCGTTCTCAAGCATCGTCGAGGGAGCGTCCAGTAGATGATGGCGATAAAGGAAGAGCCCCAGCGTCTCCCTTACCGAAGAGTACGAGGTGAAGAACTCGGGATGGTTGGCAATCTTGGTTTCCAAACTAGAGATAGAGGAAGTAGCAGCCCCTTAATGGAAAGCACGGGAGCCAAATGACATGCGAGACGACACATCGGTTCAGAGTACAACTTACCGTTTGAGTTCTCCGCACAGATTTCCGCGGCGCTCACGATCCTTCCAGGATGTGATCATGGTCTCGGTCTTGTCGATGGCAGTATCCCACTTGCCCGTCTCGAGAATGCCCTCGAATAGCCGTGACGATGGGCCTGAATCTGCCGGTGAGCCGCTTGTGCAGCATCTCCACTGCAGCTGGGGGGATGAGAGCGTCCACCAGTGTTTTCGACTCGTCATCCGGCAGCTGGTCCTTGAGACGATCGATGTACAACAGGACTGACTCGGCACCAGTCCATCCTGGAAACTCGATGTACGTTGGGAAGGTGTTGGAGCCATACTCCTTGATGCCGCCGCCGCTGCTCAACGCCCAACGAAGAGTCCGAATGCTCAATCCTGTTCCGCTGTAGATGATAGTGAGCTCGTCTCGAAATCCAACCAAGCGGAATGCATGCAACACGGGGAACAACCTAGAAGTGCCAAAAATATCAAGTAAAATTTGTTAGCCACGTATTCTGGCTATTGTCACACCGTTGTCATGCTGGCACTTGACATACATGGGCCGTAGATTGCCTTGTGTGGAAGACGACGCGAGCGATGTGGGGCTCTTGTCGCTCAGGATCTGGGCCTCGCCGATGACCACTCGAAGCTTGGACTCACTTGAAAAGTTGGAATAGTCGTGGGCAGCAAGCATCTCGCACCGATTCGAACTCCTTGCGGACAATGGAGGCTAGGTCGGATACAGGGACTGTGTGTGCCGTCGTGAGATCGCAGAGTATCATGCACAGATGTACAAACACATCCCTGAACGTATTGGGGCACACTTAGAGCAAGGCCCAGCGAGCACTCGAGAATGTCTGGCGGCAGCCGGGGACCTTCAAACAATAACCGAGGACCATGAGGCGTGAAAGGAAGAGCAGCAGTGTCATGCTCTTGGCAATAACAGTGTTGGTGCCGGCCGCGTCCTCCATGTTTTGTTGTCAATGAGGTCAGCTAGGCGAAAGAGGTCATCCGATCCAAAGTCCGACTTTGCTGCATTAAAGTAAAAGCCGCATTGGAGACAGAGCATCTCAATCATGGAACGAGTCTTGCCGCATCCACTGACTCCAAATACAGGCAAGTCTTGTGCCTGCATCTTGTCGAGGACGCGCAGCAGGACATTGGAGCGGAACCTCTCAGGAATGGGAAGGCCAACAATCGGTGGAGGGTCAGGGAGATCCAAAAGCAACAGATTCAGCTTTGAGTCCTGTGATTCCACAACGCCACGGCGCAAGACCTTTGGCAGACCACGCACGCCAGAGGTAGTAGTTGGCAACTGCAGTTGTCCTTGCACGTAGCTGTCCAGAAACTCAGCGTGCTTTGATCCAGCGGCAAAAAAACTTGTTCCTGATCCTGCTTATATCGACTCTGAGATCGCCTAAAGACACGAAGAGAACGTGATCGTGTGTTAGCAATGGGATGAAGGTGTACAATACAAAAAAAAGATGAGTAACACACGATGCATTTACCGGTATGCGGTGTGCCTGGACGTGATTCATCTGAGAGAGGGGTGGAGCTGCGAGCATGGAGCGGGACAGGAAGAGGCGCATGGAGTATGTTAGTGCAATCGGATGAGTGAATTAAGGTTAGTGCTTCAAGTTAGTGCATGGGCAAGAGTCGACGAAAAGTAATAAACGCGTGTGTGCATTACCTTGAGGAGGTCGCTGGACGATGATGTGAATTGTCTTTTTCGGAGGTTTGTCCGGAAACACGTCAGAGAGATCGTCTGTTTCATCGAGCTCTTCCTTCGAGGGGATGTCGCTTAGCGAAATGTCTTTGCGGTCCTTCTTCGGAACGAGAGGGATGGAGACGCGCCAGAGCGTGAGGTCCTTGGCATCAACTCCCTTGAACGAGTCAGGAATCTTGATCTTGATTGCGTCTTTTAGGTGATCGACAGTTTTTGATGCGTCGATGTCGACAGAGAATGGCATAGTCTCCATCAACGAGACAGAACAAGGTCAGGAGAGATTGTCGGTCATAATGTTGCGAAGTATTAAAAGAAAAGAAAATGAGGGTTGTAGAGAAGGTGATGTGTGCAGAGGGCGAAGGATGAAAGAAAGAAAAAGAGAAAAAGATGAAAGGTGTGGGTTTAAAAGGAAGAGTAAAAAGGGGAAGAGAGAGCGTGGGAGCGGTGACAAAGGCAATGGAAGAGTGAGGAAGAAAAGAGTGGGGAGGGTGGCACAGCAAAGAGATGTGGGGAGAGTGCGCGTGGGAGAGACAGAGAAAGGAAGTGGCGTGGAGGGTGGTGGGTAAAGGGAGTTGGTAAGGGCGATGAAGGTGTGGGAATGGTGGCAAAAAGGAGCGGTGATAAAGAAAGTTAGAAACAAAGAAAGTCAAGTAAAAAAGCGTGGGAGCAGTGGCGAAATAATGTTATTTCCTATACTGCAAGGAAATAAACGATGGTGACGTCACTAGTTTGCGTTTTTTTTTGGGCCCTCCCACAGCAACTCCCACGCCTGTTTCATCATACATCTATACCCAACCCTCTTTTCGTCACCCGCCACACTCATCGTCGTCCTTCTCTTTCCCTTTCTTATCATTCTCTTCCCCTTTGTTGTCCCTTTCTCTCTCCATCACCCTTCTCTTTGTACCGTTCTCTCTTTGTTTATCGCGTCATCTTTCCCTCTTACTTCTTACCTACACACACACACACGCACCTCTCTCTCTCTCTCTTGCACTACTCCCAAAGTCTTATCCGCTTCACCTACTCGTGCTGCCACAGCTCTCGCGCCTTGTTATAAACCCTGATTACCCTCTTTTCGTTCCATCTCACTCTCTTGAGGTAATGTATTTCTTGCTTATATGTGGATTTGTTTAATTAGTTTGCAACAGGCTGGAAAACTCCACCACACAATCCTATCGCCGTGCACTGGTCCTTTCTTAGTCTCGCCTTCCTTGTAGCTGGACTTGTGTACATTTCGCGGGGGAAGGGCGGAAAGTGGAGTGAGATAGGATGATGGTCGATATTTCAATGCCTGAACCGCCAATGCTGGTTCCTTCTTAGCCTCGCCTTCCTTGTAGCTGAACTTGTGTTAGTTCGCGGGGGAAGGGCGGAAGGTGGAGTGAGGCGTGTTCGACAGACTTGTGTTCTTCTCATTCTCACCTGCGCTACAATGGATGGCTAACTTGGCATTGATCTTCCAAACCCATATGTGCTTTCTCGAGCTAGAAGCATGGATTCTAGGAAGACTGACATCTGTGACGACAAGTACAACGAAGACAGCATTGAGAACAGTGAGAGCGATGGCAGCACCGGCAACAATGTCATCCTTTCGACGCCAAAGGAGGGCAGATTATGGTTCCTGAACAAGCTCGCACGGTAACAGGACATCGGCATGCCTGAGTTTTGCAATGAATTTGGGTACACTTGCGAACAAGACGCTCATGCGGCCTTTTCGAGGCTTCTATCAGACAGCCAGCTGCCGCTGTCCAGTAGAACTGCAGTTGACACAAAGTACAGAACGTGGCAACGCAATGAAGGCGAGGGCTTTTGGGCATGTCTGACGACAGACTACCGAATCGATATCTCAACAACAAAGACTGTTGAGGACCTTGTGGATAGAGGCCAGTTCTTCACAAGCAGGCTTCTTCGGTCGCGTCCTCGAGATGATCCCAAAAGTAAGTTGAAGACACAGATATGTTCATCATGCCCCAAAATGGGAGAGGTTAATTGTAGACTTCTGTAATTTTGCTCATGTCATGTTATGTTAATGTAGATGACGAATCATCTGGTCATACCGCCGCCAGAAACGCCTCACTGTCGTCGTCGTTACTTTTAATATCGTCGGTCAGCGGCATTATCGAGTTCCAAAAAGCGGAAGCTGCCGACCATGGATGGAGGCTCGTTGTCTGGTGATCGCGACGAAGGTGAGGGGCTTGTTGTATGTTGTTATGGATGGATGTCAACTGACGCGCACGTGGCTAACAAAGTCACCTTTTTTCTATCTACTTTTGTTTGCCAAGAAGTCACGATCGTCAATTCTCCAGTTCGATCGTTGCGCGCCACACCATTGATGGGGGATCCTATCCGTCGTCGCCCGAGGATTCGTCATGTTCACCACCTTCTCCGCTTGATTTTAACAAGACTGTGGAGGAGGAGGCACAAGCGTTTTTCAGCGCTGCTGGATCGTTGCAGGACATTCTATTCAGCAGCCTTCAAGACGGCCGTTCTTTGCCGGGATGGGCGAAGGATCGTCCTTTGTATCAGTTCAAGTTGCGGCTGCGAGAGGAGTGGGGGTCTCGGGTGACAGAACTCTACGAGTCTGCAAAGCGCAAGACTCTCCTGGATCATACGCATGTGGACGAGATCGCGTAAGTTCGTCACGTTGCACTTTGTTCTCTAGTTTGATATTAAACGGTGGAGAGGTGTTTGCATTAACACATTACCTTGTCATTATTATTATAGGCTGCTGTCTGGCATAGTCCACTTCAACAAAAGACATGTTGGATTCTCGGAGCAGGAGATCAAGACGATAACGGCCAGTGTTCTGGAGATGTTTTACAGTCAGGAGATGAAGGAAGAGGACATTCAGCGGGCTCAAGATGCAGTCCTTCTTTGGGCGAGCTGGGTGCAGGTAAGTTATCGGGAGAGGTGGACGACGCCATGACTTTTTGTATAACAGCGCGCGAAGATACATGTTTACCTTTATGCAACTTTATTTGTTTGTACGCAAGTAGAAATGGAAAACTCTCCTGGTGAACGAGAAGGTCGCGGCGCAGAGAGAGAATCGGGACCCAGTGGAGGCGATTGACACAGAGCCAGTTGTGGAGGCGATATTTTCGTCGTATGCAGAGTGCAAGGACAAGAAGATCACACCGATTTTCTATATTGCGCTGCATGTATTCCGTCAATACAACAGTTGGGCTACACTTGTGTCCGAATCGGATTGCCTGATGGGAGTGGTTGGTCCCATCTTGAAGGAAGTCATGGCCGTCCAGCACGAGATCAAGTTTACATGGTAAGTTTCTGGTTGGCTGTATGACAACTTGTGTCGTCTCAACATAACGGTCGTTTACTTATATTTTTTTTGTTATTCTACTTTCATTGGATTAGTGCTAATGCATGCACGTCGGTGGGCAAAACTAGGGAGGCGCAGCTTCAGCAGGATGGACAATCGCGGCAGCCGGATGTTATAGGCCTGACGGAGGCAAAGGAAGAAATTTTCTATGGCGAACTCAAGGGACCGACCCCAAAGACAGCGGCCGTCAACACCGATGTCCTTCGACTTGCAGTCTTTTCCAAAGATTCTCTTGATCAAGTGCATAATGTTGTGGTAGAAGGACCTCCACTGTTGACTTTTCAGACAGTGGGTCGTGATGTCATGTTCTTTTTGGCGGCTAAGGTGGACAACACTGTTGTTCACTTGCAATTATCGACGGTTAAGCTGCCAGCGCATTTGCAGGATATGGACTTGGAGTATGAGTTCTTTTTTAATTTATTCCAAGTCCAAACCTTGATCAAAGTTGCGCGGGATCGTCTTGGACAAAGGAGAGAGGTGCCAAGACAAGACGTTTTCTTCCCTACTCTTGGGACGCCAGATAGGAAGGCTGCCATGAAGAACTCTATCTCCACGAGGAAATAAAAGCTGCGCATCTTGTGATAATGTGTCGAAAATGTTCGCTGAAGATGGTTGGTTGCTACAAAATGTGTGGTTATTACAAGTGATTTGAGTGCGATTGTCAGTACAGGTGAGAGAGAAAGTGTCGGTTGGTCAATGCAATGTACTATTAGTAATGAAGCAAGCAAGATCTCACGTATGTGCTATACTTTCTGTCAGCCCCTCAATATCAGAAAGTTTATGAGAACGCGTCAAAGGCGCAGACCGCGTTCAGGTATCACGCTTTCTTAGTTTTAAATACAAACCCCTTAAACAATATGACAATTCTTTGAAGTGAACAAAGCATCAACAACGTGGCCTTGAATTCTAATGAAGCAAGGATTGAAAGAGCCGACATCGAAGCAACGTCGCTCTGAACGCTTTGCCAATGAAAAATGGAAGCACACTGATAAAGCGACACAAAAGGCAAAGCAGAAAGGCAAAGCAAGAAGGCAAAGCAACAATAATGCATGTTCGAAGTTCGAGGTTTCTATTTTCACTATACCCTCGAGTTTTTCCTCAGTTCCCTTGAAATTCTCTTTGTACAACCATGCGCAACCGAGTATCCTACCCTTCGTATAGTTTGTTAATATTATTGTCCCTTCGCAATTCTCCCTCTCTCTTCTCCCTCTCTCTTCTCCCTCTCTCTTCTCTCCTCCCTCCTCGCTCTTCCCTCCTCGTTCCTTTCCATTGCGCTAATGTTCGGTTGAGAGGCGAATCGGGTGACTGTCATTGGGGAAAGTGCAGCACGAGCGATCAAAGGGACAACCAGAGGAAGAGAAAGGGGGAGTGGGAGAGAGTCCAAACGTAGTGAGCTCTAGGAGGAAGAGTGAGAAGAGAAGGGCCAGATAGATGAAGGTCCAATGGAAGATGGTCATCAAGACAAGGAAAATATAGGGAAAGAAAGATATATTTATGAAGGAGAACGGGAAGGAACTGAAGAAGAGATCTAAGGTAAATGCTAGCTATTTATATGGAGGTGCGGTTCGGCCAAAGTCCAGACGGGTCGGGGTCGCGGGATCGGCAGAGCATCAGAGCCCTCGGGAGAACTTCCTGGGTCGGTCTTGGCAAGAGCATTAGAGCTGGCTTGGCGGTCCGAAGCGTGCCAAGGCTCAGGGTCCTAGTGGACGGTAGGGGACGTGGCGACCAGATAGACTACAGGAGGACATGCTTAAGGGGAAGCAAGGAATCCTGACAGGCATGCATCCTTTTCGACTCTTTACATTTGCTCCGCGCTGTCCTTCCTGCACGTGCGATACGCTCATGGTGCCTGAGGTAAACGCTGGGGAAGACGCCTCTTTTCACATTTCTCTTTCTTGTTACGCACCCTTCCTCCTCCTTTGTCCGCTTCGCCAACTCACACCTGCCTACTCTCTCATTCACCCTCCACCTATTCACTCTTCCATTGCAAACCTGCTCTTTCTCATCCTCTCCTCCATCACAACCACACATTCGCCTCCATCGACGGACAACAACCACACCTTCCAAACTTTCCAAAAGAAACAGGTGACTCTACTGAGAGTAGGTACAACCTACAACACAGACACACACGGTAAACAGTTTTTAATTTGGCCAACGACTAACCCTTCCTTCTCCCACCTTCCATCTCTCCCCACCTTCCTTCCCTCTTTCCCTCTGTCCTTCTTTCTACTCGCAGTCAATTGCCTCTACTTACAAAACAACATCAAACACGACTAAAAAAACACTGGAAAACAAAAAATCAAAAAAACACCTCCACCTCATAGTAAGTCTCAACCTCTTCTTCATAGAGGAAACATATGCCCTGTTCTCAGATAAATAACGCACATCGTCTGCGCCAAACTAAAACTCTGCACTGCCATGTTTTTTGCTCGCTTTCTCTAGCATTGAGCAGGCTTCTTCGCCCTACCTGTGTCTCTTCAGAATCTTCCATTGCGCTATATTTATCATTGTAAGGTAAACAAACAGGCAATATGCATGTATCCACTCACCATCCGATATTTATTTTGTGCGCTCTTGTTACTCAACGAACTCTACTTCCTCTTGCTTGATCACTTTTAGCACCTCAAGCACTCGCCATGAACAACAACCCCCTCGAGCAATTGGACCTCCAGGTCCCTGGCACTGACCAACCCGACACCACCCAACCCGAAAGAAAGCGCGACAAGATTCGCAAGTTCTTCAGCAAGTCAAAGTCAAAGTCCAAAAAGGCATTGAGCCAGACCTCGAGTGCTCAGTATGCCTCGCAGCAGCAACCTGCGACACGAACCTCCGTCGCCTCCCAAGCCAGCATTGACCTTTCGCCCACCCCTCTGACTCTGGACCACATCCGCATCGACATCTTCGCAGAGAATGTTCCCAAGCCAATCCTCAAGGCTGAGCTGCCTAGTCTGCAAGACCGCATTGAGAGAACCGATCAGTTGCTCTACTGCAACGCCTTGCTTCTTCAGAGCGAATCAGCTCTACTTGCCACCACTACATGTGAAGAGGCGAATGACGACTCTGCCAATGTCCTCGAGGAACAAGGTCTCGACAAGACTCAATTGGACTGGCTGGCAGCGACAAAGGCCGATCCTATGCAAGAGGACCACATACGCTCCCTCGTTGTCCGAATGGTGGAGACTTTTGTTTCGGACGCTTCCAAGAACTCGACAAAGATCGCCGAGATCGTAGCACTTGGACCCATTCTGCAGAAGGAAGACTACCGCAAGTTGCTATCGTCCATCATCAAGGAGTTTGACGATTCTCCTCTTCTCGATGTCAATCTGCTTCAGGGTCTTGTGCAGTTGGTCCAGGCTGCCTCCCCCGAGTACCTTGTCTCTGATGACTTGATCAGGATCCTTAGTATCCTCAGGATCCGTTTGCAAGGCACTCACCAGCAGACGTCTGAGCATCCGTACCACCTCACCCTTGCCGTCTCTCGCGTCCTCGAAGTCATGGCTGACAATAAAGTGCAAGATCTGGACCGAGTCATTGAGCACGAGCCCCTGTCCGCGGTGTTGCAGAGTCTGAAGGACACCACCGATCCCTACCTGTTGTACCAGGCGTGTTATGCCTATCAAGCACTGCAGTATGTCCCTGATGATGAGACTGTACTTCAAGCTGTCTTGAGGCACACTACTGGCGTGGTTGATGGGTTGATCAAAGTTTCTGGCGTCGTCAAGTTGGATCTAGGCGCTGTTCTTGACGGACTATGCAGCCTGCAGGAAGCCTTTGTCAAGGCTATGGAGATTGCTGGCTTGACCTACGAAGGCGTATGCTCGCTGTTGGAAAGTAGTCGAGGAGTGTTTGTCAGCCTGAAGGAGGGACTGAGTGCTGGCCAGAAACGAGCATGGTATCCCGCCGTCCGAGCAGCTTATGCTCTTGCTGAGGCTGGGCAACTAAAGGATCTGAACCAGTTCATTTATAGAGCACCCTGCCACCACGACCCTATGTTCCAGTGGGGCATCTGCCAGCTGCTAGGTGACATTGCTGCCAATCCGGTCTGGAGTGTCGATATTCGCCTGCAAGCCATCCGTCTTCTTGGTCACCTCTACCAGAACGACCAGGAATGGGCCGAGGACCAGAGCGTCAAGATCTGGATGCTGACTATCATCGACAGGCTGGGAAATCCCTACGACCAAGCCATTAGCACAAGTGCTTGCTCATTGCTGCAGGATCTCGCCTCAGACGCGACTCTTTCGATGCGACACCCCTATCCATTGATGGCTCGTCTTCTCATCCCTGACCCATCCCCGGTCCTTGCCAAGGTTCAGCAGCTCTCTTGTTTTGAACGTGAATTGCATCTGATGAAGAATCAATTATTGAAGATGCGCCGACTCGAGGAGGCGACTCAACCTGTCTACATCTCACCTATGGCAAAGGCTAGCCTCCAGGCCTTGGATAACGACGTCTTCCCGCTAATCGACAAGGTGCAGGGATTCTTGGCCAGCGACCGCCGGGTCATGTTAATCATGGGCGATTCTGGATCGGGCAAATCGACATTTAACAAGCATCTCGAGTCGGAACTCTTGCGTTCCTACCGCAGCGGTGGGCGTATTCCATTGTTCATCAACCTCCCCCTACTCCAGCGACCAAAGAAGGAGTTGATCGCAGAGCAGCTTAGGACTCACAGGTTCTCGGATTCGCAGATCGAGGAGATGGAGTTGCACCGCCAGTTCGTGTTGATCTGCGATGGTTACGATGAGAGCCAGCTCAAGTCGAACCTGCACACCACCAATGACCTCAACCGATATGGACAACGCGACGCCAAGTTGATCATCACTTGCAGAACTCTGCGCCTTAGCCCTGACTATCGCGACTTATTCGCGCCTCAAGGGGTTGGCCACTACGCTCGCCGAACCCTCGATTTCTATGAAGAAGCTGTCATCGCCCCATTCTCCAAGGTCCAGATCGAAAGCTATGTCGACCAATATGTCCGCTTGAAACCTCGGACATGGACTACACACGAATACATGGACAAGTTGACCACCATCCCCAACCTCCTGGACCTTGTCAGGAACCCCTTTCTTCTCTCGCTCTCTTTGGAAGCATTGCCAGGCGTCACAAAGGGCAAGCAGGATCTGTTGACTATCAGGATCACCCGCATTCACCTCTACGATAAATTCGTACATCACTGGATGGATGTCAATAAACAGCGGCTCCAAGGAAACACTTTGTCCGAGGAAGATAGTGTGGCATTGGAGCAACTCAAAGAGGCTGACTTTATTTCGATGGGGATCGACTATTCCACGCGGCTAGCAGCTGCCATCTTTGAGATGCAGGACGGCAAACCGGTTGTCAAGTACATTGACATCAAAGACCGGAACACATGGAAAGTCCAGTTCTTTGGTCAAGATTCCGAGGTCCGCCTCCTGAGAGAATCGTCCCCATTGATCCGCACCGGCACCTTGTACCGATTTCTTCACCAATCCATGCTGGAATATTTTCTCTCCTGCGCCGTCTTCGATCCTATCCAACAAGGTGATGACAAAGAATTTGTTCCGCAACAGGGCTTCGGCTCGCCGAACGTCCAGCCACTCGACCCCAAAAGCCCCTTGTTCAAACGGAGTCTTATTGCCGAGCCTTCCATCATCCAGTTCCTGTGCGAGCGAGTACAACAGCACCCTGATTTCGAGCGACAGCTACATTCTCTCATTGAGCAATCCAAGACTGATCCTACAGTTTCTGTCGCTGCAGCCAACGCCATCACTATTTTGGTTTCAGCTGGCGCGCGCTTTAATGGTGCCGATCTACGAGGCGTCAGTATTCTCGGAGCGGACCTCTCTGGAGGCCAGTTTGATTCTGCACAGTTTCAAGGAGCCGATCTGAGGGACGTCATTCTCGCCAAGAGCTGGTTGCGAAAGGCTGACTTGAGCAATGCGCGGATGGATGGCGTTCGATTTGGAGAGTTACCTTACTTGGAGAGTCTTAAATATCCCTTCTCTTGTTGTGCATTCCAGCTCGGTGAGACAGTGGTCGCCGTGGGCAGCGACGAGGGACATATCAACTTTTATGATAGCACTAGCTGGATCAAACTTCGAACAATCCAGCAATCTCAACAATCATGGGTTCTCGGCATTGATTTCTCCCTGGACGGCAAGCGCCTTGCAACTAGGGACCAAGCAGGAAAAGTGCGAGTATTAGATCTTAGGAGCGACGAGAACGTAGTGGTGGTCATGGAAGGACATGTCGAGGGTGTGACTTCGGTGGCATTGTCTCCCTGTGGCAAGCAGGTGGCATTGGCCAACGATGAGGGAGCGATGTGTTTATGGAATATAGAGTCTGGCAACGTCGACTTTGCCTTGAAAGGGCACACTAGTTCCGTGTGGAGTGTCATGTATTCGCCAGATGGAGAGCAACTTGTCTCTGGCAGCGGGGACAAAACAATTCGGTTCTGGGATCCGATAACAGGAATTTCGAGCACCGTTCTGCAGTCGCCTGATGAGGTTTCTTGTCTTGCTCTCTCACGAAATGGACGAACGATTGCGTCGGGTGGATTCGGAGGCAACATTCAGCTTTGGGATGCAATTTCCGGAGAGCCTGGTACTGTGTTCCGTGGCCACACTTCGACCGTCACTTGCGTCAAGTTCTCTGAAGATGGCCAAAGGATCGCTTCGTCCAGCTGTGATAGGTCAGTGAGACTGTGGGATGCGGCGACTAGTATGCCCATTTCCGTCTTGGGCAACCATAACGACGTTGTCTATGGCCTCTCTTTTTCTCCAAATGATCAACAAGTCAATTCCGTGGGTGGAGACTCGAAGGTGCGCCTGTGGGATGTTGATGTCACCCGGTCAACCTCCGAGCCACAGGGCCATGCTGGCAACATTTTGAGCGTGTCCTATTCAGCTGATGGTCGCTCTATCTTCTCTGCAAGTCGTGATAAATCTGTACGACACTGGAGTTCGACCACAGGATCCACCGGTATTATTCGGCTCGAGGTTACAGATTGGTCTGTAGTGGCATTTTCATTCGATGCCACTCAAATTGCGACTGGCGGTCAGAACGGGATCATTCGACTATGGAATTGTCAGACAGAAGCGGCAGAAGGAATGATGCAAGGACCCACTGGCAGTGTGCAATCGTTGGTCTATTCGCCTTGTGGTCGCTGGATACTGTCCTCAAGCTTGACGATGGACGTTGGACCTAAGTCTTCGTATAGATACCCCACAGCTCGATTGTGGAACCTTGAAAAGGCCCAGCAAGAATGTACTCTCCCCGATTTACTCATAGATGGTCGATGCTCTCCCTATTTTACAGCATTTACATCGACTGGGTCCCTGCTGGCGATTGGAGATTTCGACGGCATAGTCAGCCTTTACGACACACACACCAAGGCACGTGTGAAAGTAATTAGCATCGAAGAATATGCCCTATATGCAGTGGCATTCTCTCCAAGCGGTAAACAACTTGCCATATGCTCCCTAGCCTCAGTCTACCTTTGGGACCTTCAATCAGAGCAGCCAACGTTGAAACTTGATTACCACGTCTTCCGAGGTCTCTCCTTATGCTTATCTTACTCGCCCTGCGGAAAGTGGCTCGCTTCTGGCTGCGATAAGAACACCCTGGGACTCTGGCGACGAGACGCTAGTGAGACAGAGAGTTGGTCTTGTGTTACCGAGGTTCGCGAGTTCTCCGGGTTCGTTGGATGCATTGCCTGGAACCCGACCGGCACCCTGGAGTTTGTCACTGGCAGTGATGATCATGCGGTTCGAGTTTGGCGAATATCGGACGATAATGGGAGTGCTTCTGTAAGACTGATCTGGGGTTCTGATGCCGGGTTTCTGTGTCTTTCGGGCGTGATCTCTGCCAGCGCGATCGGGCTTAGTGCGGTGAACCAGCAGTTGCTTATCCAACGGCGTACTGTTGATGTGAGCTCGGCTCTGGAGGAGGACAAAGGCACTATTGAGGAGTAGGGAGGCGAGGTCACCATTGATAGGAAGAGAGACGAAGTTTCCATTGAATAGTTGAGCAGTAACGAGGAGTTTTGTTTCTTATGGGTGCCAACTTGGGAGGCCGTTTCGCAAGCACGAATAAATAACCTATAAATTTTACTGTTCACACCAATCGGACAGTGCTAAATTTCTCGCTGCGTCTTTTTTTTAATGGGCACATTCTTGTATATCTTTGATATAGCAACATAAAGATGTGAGAAGACCCATAAAGCAACGCGCTCGTTTTTTAATCATACACCTTACTCTCACTGAAAACATTGCTGGCAGGAGAGGGGAAGGAGAATAAGGGGATGATATTCACGTCGCTAATGTGGAGGAGGGTTCAAAAAAACAATCCCCGTGGATGGAAACTTTCCTTCCCTCTTTATTAAGCTACCGTCACCTTCTCCTCCTTCCTTACCCACTTCTCTAACAGCAACAACCGACAGGATCCTCTTCATCACCCTCCAAAACACAATACCACCCTTCACCACCACCACCGCGACTGGCCATTAGCTCCTGCCTCAAAACCTTGACTTCCTAACTACTCATCGCATCCTTCACACAACACCACTTCACCACAGGGCTCGCAGCCATCACCAACCGCGCCTCAAACAGGTCAATACATGGTCGCACTGATGTACAGTACCAATCCGACATGGGCCGGATCGTCAGTTTCTCGACCGTCGCGAACCAGAGCCCGCAAAACATCAGTGCTATATCGCGCCAGACCTCTCTCTAGTACTTGATCTCGCGTCGTTCTAGGTCGTTGTGGTGGAGATGGAAGTCTCGGTAGACGCCTTTGTCGATTAGATCCCGGATATGACAGACGTTAACGCTCAGCTGGCGCAGCCGACAATTCGGATCCGGAAACAATCAAACAGCCTTCGCAACGTCCCCTTGTCTGCAACATCCACCATCGAGATATCCAGCACCACTAGTCTCGAAAGCAGACCCCAGCTCGAACAGTCCTTGAATGCGTACCGTGCCCGTGCTGATGTCGACAATCGTTCTGACGCCGATCCCATGTCGCCCATAGAGTTGGGTACCTCGATCCCTCCCGCCGTCAAGGACTCGATGTTGGACAGAGTTAGTGGTAGAGCTAACAAGTCCGCCAGGACACGAACTGGTCGACATCGAAAGCCCGAGAGATACAAAACCTTCAGCGGATGCCTACTTCCAACCTTCTCTTCGTGCTCCTTAAGTACACCATCAAGGCCCTAATATACAGTACTGTACACAACTTTCAACATCTTCAACAAAGCCAGAAGAGGGGAAAGACGAGTTGGAACTAAAGGCTCAGTGGTCAGCACTACTTACTCCTTAACCCACATTCGTTGAACATAATTGCGCCCTCTCAATATTACTTTTAGTGCTGCCAGTGACGACGGACACAATGGGAACAAAAATCTCGTCGCTCACTTGTGATTAGCGATGCCGAATGTAATGACGGCGAAGCCTATTATAGACCAGGGACTCCAGAAAAAAATTCGATCGCTCACTACATTCAGGTACGTTTGTTGGACCAACCTCCTTAGCAAGATGGCCAAGTGGACAAAGTAGTAAACAGGGCAAGTGGTTTTTTTCGTCATTGTTGTTCGAAACCAGTCGATAGAGTTATCGTTGCACTTGCGACGGATTGGGCTGGACAGGAAAGGGAGTGCGAAGGATTGAAGTGTGGGTACAAGAGCAGGAGTGGAAGAATGAGTGTGAGGAAAGAAGCAAGGGAATAGCTTTATTGTTAGCCAAGGAATAAATACAGAGGAAGGGACAGACTATATATACGTGAGGAGAATAAGAGGACAGAACTAAACGAGAGGCTAGAGTATGACAACAGAAGGTGGTAAAGATAACAGAATGCTAGAAATGCAGAGAGGCAAGCAGGTAAATTGGCAGAAAAGCAGATTGGTGAAGGTATTCTAACAACAGGGATAAATACAGGTATCGATGGTAAAGAGGAAAGGGAACGGGACCTAACAGAAGTAGACAAGGACGTAAATGGTAAATAGGATGGGCAATATGTATTATCCGTCGGTGCCAGGACCATATATGTGTTATCTTCTTTTATTGTATAAAATGCGAAAATCCAGAAAACTAAACGAAAGTGAAAAGAGAAAAAATGAAATAAGTTCTGCTCAGGCACCAGATCTGTCCCTTATCTTCGTGGTGTGAGCCAGGTGCCAGGAGACAAAAAAGGGTGGGAAAACAAAAAAATCCAAGGGCGGGACATATATGGTCCTGGCCCTCGGATAATAGGCTTGAGCCTTCATATCTTCGGCTCCGCTAGATACACATCCCCCTCAAGAAGGAGAACGCCGACGATCTATTACCAATCCATACGAGGACTCCGGGTTCTGTTGGTAGACCACCATCGTATGATTGGAGCTTTCGGTTTTGCTGCAGACGACACCGTCCTCCTTCTCAATTGGTAATCAAACGCCCCTCTGTTGGCAACGATTGCCCAGTCGAAATCAGGATGCGGAAGCTTCGGGACAAAGATGAAGTACAGGTGGTGTACCGTTGGCGCCACAATCATGACGATTCGGCGAAGGCCAGATCGAAAATGCCCCTGAGTGGAATCGAGCTTGAGTGGGTCAAAAAAATGGCTGCAGACGGCCTCGACTGGAAGTCGATAAAGGCTCGGCTTCGTTTAGACAACTGGTCACTTCGTCAGGTAATTTAATACACTCTTGCCCAATATTCACCTATTCACATTACTTTCTTGCTTTTTTCATTCTCGCAGTGCCCGGTCTCTAAATTACTGTTATTATAACTTTCATTTGCAATAGCTTGAGGACCAAGAATCTCTTCAAACGTTGCCTCCCTGCCTTTACATGCTGTACGACGACGTTCGAACAGTCGTGTACCGCAATCGGACGCAGTTATCTCGAAAGGCGGTCAGCCCCTCGTACAGTGTGAAGCTTTGGCTTGAGCAGATCAAAGACGAAGGTGGTAAAAGCATGTTCAAGGATGAGGCCGCGCAGAACAAAAATCACTACCTTTTTGCTTGGTGTACAAGGTTTCAGCTAAAGGTTTGTGGCTCGTTTATATGCATACCGTTAAATGCTTTAATGCAATCAATGCAAACCTAATGGCATTTTCGTTAAGCACTCTGTAGATCTTGAAGGACAACACCACCATTGTGTGTATGGATTCAACACATAAAACAGTCAAATCATTGAAGCCGAGCCCGGAAAACGACAAAGTATTTACGTCCGCATACCTATTTACTATTCTCGTCAGGGATCGAAAGTCGCAAACCGGCATACCGATTGCATTTATGGTGTGCAACTCGGAATCAAGGTGAGATTGTGCTCAAATATGTTCTACTGTCCCATTGTAATATAGCCCGAGTTATTGAGACTGACTATCCTCTGACCACTTTGAACTTGTGCGGCAACTCGATCGGATCCAATGGAACTCAGGCGCTATCTGAGGCACTCAAGACCAACTCGACTCTGACCACTCTGGACTTGTGGAACAACTCGATCGGAGATAACGGAGCTCATGCGCTGTCTGAAGCACTCAAAACCAACTCGACTCTGACCACTTTGACCTTGCAGGACAATTCGATCGGACCCAACGGAGCTCAGGCGCTGTCTGAGGCACGCAACACCAACTCAACTGTGACTATTTTCGGATGATATATCCCTTTTGAACTCCATTTTCGCCACTCATGTGCAGAAAAACACTAAAGAAAATGAGTTAGGTCGCTATGATTACTCAATAACGCGTCGGTGAATTTTTAGTGCACTGATTAGAACTTGGGTTTCGTCAAAAACCCTTAACAAACAGCTCTAAATTGAATTCAAGTCATTGCAACACGTTAACGCGCGTAAACACAGACCACTTTCAAGTATGCATTGTTACAGAAGGGCAGGGTTCGCAGGCAGGATTGTAGGGCATCCGTAATATCCTCAACCGATAGCGAATAAAGAAAATACGAGCCTGTGATGCGCCAAAGAAACAATTGTCAGTCCAGCTACTCTGTCTCTTAGCAATACGTGAAAAGAGATAAAGAGCAAATAAGCGATCTCCGGTGCAACACGAATACTATAGTACAGGTGCGACTAACTAGACTATAGAGACATCGCCATGTCCAAAATAAGGGGCACCTATTTTGCAACAGCATAAAACTGAATTCAAAACGGTACCCTTAAGACGAAAAGCAGACATACGCGGTCGTGGCAGTGAACAAAGCATCGGCGACGCGACCTCGAATGATAATGAAGGAGGAGAGAAAGAGCTGACATTATAGGATCAAAAAGCAACGTCGCTATGAACGCCACAAGCCAGTCAACCTTGGTGTGAGCACTCCCTAGAGTATATGCTCATATTAATAACATCGGATGAGACACTGCTCTCATGAGTAAAGTGAATGGTCGCTGCTGCTGGGACGATGCGAGCAGTTTTTGAATATTGAGAACGGTGGCGTAAAGTCAACATAGAATTGTCATAAGTTCCCCCCTACAAACCTTAGATTCTCATATAAAAGATATCGAAGAGGCACAGCTTTCATATGTAAATTCAATGGTACATGCTGGGGGCAATGCAAGCAGTTTTTGAATTTTGAGAGCGGTGGCGGAAATTCAATTCTTAGAAGCGCCATTGGTTCCCGCTTGCAAAACTTAATATTTCTCTTGGGAGCGCATATAATGACACTGCTCTCATGGTAAACTGAATGCTGGGGGCGATGCGAGCAGTTTTGAATTTTAAATGCGGTGGCGGAAAGTCGACACAGTATAAGACTCCAGTCAAAAGCTCCGCACTGAAATTTTATCTCTTTCACTCTTTCTCTCATCACCCACTATTGCACTCTCGCTGCCTTCTCCATTGTTGTCTCCACTCTCGCTCATATCGCTCGCTGTTGTCACCACTCTTACTCCTTCTCGTCATCCTCACACATATTATCATCAACACCCTTTCTTTCTCCTTCTCTTCGCCTCAACTTCATCTCACTTTATTCACTCATTTTCACCTCATACTCCCACATTGTTGCCTCTTCTAACCTCCACCTCCGTTTGTTAGCTGTATGCCACGGTAAGCTGTTGTCTCGAAAGTGTGGTAGTGCCAGGTTCTGAGGCAGGAAAAGAGGGAGGATGAGAGAAAGTGAAGAAAGTGTGGTGAAAGAGAGGGAGTATAAGGACAAGAGAGAGTGAAATTGCTAAGCTAGGAATGGATTTAATGCAAGATAGAGAAAAGGGGAACTACGAGGAAAGAGTGGCTATTTATGTGTTTAGCAAACAGGAACAAGAACAAAGACCAAGAACAGGAACAAGACAAGAGGAATACAGGAACAAGAGGGAGTGTGAATGCCAAGAGATACAACCAGGTGTAAGATAATAACATGTCAAGATAGAAAAGGTGCAAACAGATGTAACAGGAATAATATGTCAAGATAAAAGAGGTGTTAAACAAGTGTCAGGTTAAGGTGCATAATACAGGTGTTAAGTGCAGGTGTATGCATTTCTAGAAACAACGTGAATCCAAAATGAAGAGCACGAACAACTAAGCCCAAATCCTATTTCTTTTGCGGGATAAGATAATTTGAGCCTAGGTTCGCGGCAGGTAGCTTCTTTGTGACAATTCCGCAATGCTCTGGTCGAGTTCATTGACGTAGATTAGAATGTCCTAAATGGAAGAAAGGGGGCTTCGTCGAAGATGCTGAATCGTATGAAGTGCATGAACTAAGTGTCATGCTTGCCCACTCGAGAGCACCTGATGTATAAAATTAGTGTCTGTTATCCTTCACCTCGCTATTCGCGTCACAGATTACTTCATAACCACTCTGTCGTTTTACTCATTATCTTCATTTCGTTCCTTTCTTCCCAACCTTGTTGTTCCCCCTATTCCTCCTTTGTTATTAGCACCTTCTTGTGATCGCATCATCACTGTCTTCGCCATCATCCCTGTCACGCTCATCACATTCTTCACCTTTTATGTCTAAGATGTTCCAGACACATCCCCTCGATCTGTATGAGATTCGCTCAAGAATTGCCAACAGTCTTGGCCGTAAAGACCTCGCGACCTGTGCGCGTGTGAGTCAGGATTGGAACGACTCTTTCACACCTCCACTCTACAACTCTGTCGTGTTGTCGAAACATGGCCTTGGCATGGAATCTGTTGAGAGAAACAAGCACCTTATACAAAGCCTGGAGATTCGAAGATCTGCCTATGAAAAACTATCATCGACATCAGCACGAGACAAAGTAGTTTTTAGTGTCATGGCTAACTCGACTCTGACGACTTTGGACTTGAATGGCAACTCGATCGGACCCAACGGAGCCCAGGCGCTGTCTGAGGCACTCAAGACCAACTCGACTCTGACCAC